TGGTTCCCAAACTCCTTTTCTGCAGGTGGAAATTCCCCAGTTACAGTCCTGTTACAGTTTCAAAAGCTCCCTCTAGAGGGAAACAGTCTCCACTTGTATCAGTTCTTTTAAGCACAATTTCAAACATTAAAGATAAAATTTCAGTTACTTTTCCTCTTTTTTTTTTTAAACGCAGAAAGGGGCAATGGAAACAGTATCTTACTCTTGTTTAGCTAACTGTCAAATCCGTTCTGTCAAAAGCACTCTCTTCAATCATCACCTGGCAGCCCGTTCCCAGGTTCAGAGCAGTGGTAATCTGATTTCTTCACTCTCTCCTGCAGGCTCACTAGATCCAAAATTTCCCCCTCTTCTCCTGCTTCCCAAGGGGGTTTTGTAACTTTAAACCGGTGGAAATTCAATCCTTTGCCAAAAATTTTCAAAGGCTTTACTTGTAACGTCTTTGCTTCAGTCTATTTACAAAAACAGAAGGCGGACTTCCTGTTTGTGACCTCCCGCTTCAGTGCCGAATTAAAGTATTTAAAAATCCAATTTTCCGATTTACTCACGAGTAGTTGTTTGAAATCCAATTGTCCACAGGAAAAAGTCAGCGCTCTCTGGCAACAGCAATGCGGCTTCACTCCGTGAAAAAAGCAGTCGATTCAAAGCACCGCGCCACTCACCCCACGTCGCTCCGGATCCCTAAAACAGGGTTTCCCCGCGAGTAGGGGAGGCGCAAAGGTGCCAGCCGAATCCCACGTCCACAGGCTTCTCCCACCTGTGGTTTTTAATGGGTCTCCGCCTCGCCGTGGCGGTTCAGACCCTATTTTTCGCGGAGCGGGTTCCTCCCGATCGGAGGAAATCCGCCATTGCCAGAGGCGCCAACCCGGAAGTCCGAAACCTGAGGTCTATTATGGGCATGCATGCAGATATTGGTTTACATTTGTGCCTGACCAATTTTTAAAAAATATTTCTGAGATACAAGTTTTCCAACATACCAGACTTGCACAAAACAGATGAATTTAAAAACAAAAATGATTTTTTGCCATTCTCAGCCTCAGCACTGAGAAGTGCCTCACTAACAACAGTAGAGGGTGATAGACAGCGCACCCAGCAAAATATTGTCACACATTTTTTTAAAAAAAGGCCACCAATGCACTAAGTGCACTAATGTCCACAGTTATGTGACTTCCTCGCCTTATAATTCCTCATAATAAATTAAATGGGGAGAATTATGGGCTGCCACTTGAGTCCCATCAGTGAAGAGACAAGGGGCCTCCAAACAACTCTCAGCACCCTTAAACTATAGGTCCCAAGATTCTTTGGGGGAAGCCATGTTTCAAGTGGTATGATACAACTTTTAATGTACAGGGCAGATGGAGCCTTGGATGAGGACGCCCTATGGACAATGCAAAAGCACGCACACATGGAATGCAAGAAATAAACTGCCCCGTGTATACAGCACAATTCCCAGCTAAATAGTGATACAATCATAAACCCCCCAAGAGGAGAGGTTTTCTAGAAACTGAAGCAGCAGGGAAGAAAAGCAAGTTTACATGTACAATGGTACCTCTGGTTGCACATGCTGTGGGTTATGAGCTCCGGTAACCCGGAAGTAGCCGCTCCCGGTTGCAAACCTTGCCCTGGGATGTGAGTGGAAATCATGCACCCAGAGGCGCGTGTGCAGCGAGAGGTACACTTTCACTAATGGCTCCTCAGGTTACAAGCAGTTTCTGGTTACGAACGGACCTCCAGAACAGATTCAATTTGTAATCAGAGGTACCACTGTACTGCATGTAACTATGCTTTACTAGATATTTCAGTTAAAAAACTTAATTAGTAGTTATGACTTACTTAATAAGGTAATATTGGGGCTGGTGCCATCATGAGGCCAATTAGGCAGGTATCTAGAGCACAGAACTCAGAGGGGCACAGTATTGACCTTTGAGTTATCTAAACAGGAATGTTTTTAGCAGGTACTGAAAAGTACAGCAAAGCCACCTACTTGATCACAGGTAAACTGGTCCAAAATTGTTAAGGGCTTAATATGCTAACAGTAACACCTTGAATTTGGCCCAGCAGCAAACCGGCAACCAGTGCAGATCTCTGAGCACAGGTGTTATATGCTGACTAGGACTCAATCCTGTCAGTAATCATGCTGCAGCATTCTGCATTAACTGCAGCTTCTGCAAGGGAAGCCCCACATACAGTGTATTACAGTAATGCAGTCTTAAAGTAGCCAATGTATGAACTACTGTGGCAAGCTTTTCCCAGTCCAAAATAGCCACAGCTGTTGAACCAGCCAGTTGGTAAAAGGCACTTCTTGTCACTGAGGCTACCTGAGCATCCAGTAACAGAGCTGGATCCAGAAGCAACCCCAAACTGCAAACCTGCTCCTTCAGGGAGAGTGCAACCCCATTCAAGGTTGTAAAAGGTAAAGGACCCCTGACAGTTAAGTCCAGTCGCGAACGACTCTGGGGTTGCGGCACTCATCTCGCTTTACTGGCCGAGAGAGACGTTTGTCCGCAGGCAGATTTTCCAGGTCACGTGGCCAGCATGACTAAGCCGCTTCTGGCGAAACCAGAGCAGCACACAGAAACACCATTTACCTTCCCGCCGGAGCAGTACCTTGCTTTCAAACTGCTAGTTTGGCAGGAGCTGGGACTGAACAACAACAACAGGAGTTCATACAACGGGAGCATTTCTTGGGATTTCTTCCACTAAAGAGGCTAGAGGCCCCTTTATGACAGAAACTCTTCTTGGACAGCTTAGCAAGTGGGATTACCTTTTGAGAATCTGAATGGGAGTAACATGAAAGGCAAAGAAAAGAGCATACAAAATAGAGTCCTAGACATAAACTCATATGTCTTTTTTGTTCCCTACAAGGCACACTCTTTAAACTTGGTAGTCAATGGCTGATTGATTGATTGATTGATTTCATAAAATTTATACACAGCTTGATTGTATTTTTTTAAACAAACCTCAAAGCAGTAAACAAAAACATAAGACAATAAAGAAAAAAATCACAATCATACTTTAAAACATACAAGTTAAGATTAAAATTACTGCTCAGTGTTGTCTGGAAGCAACTATTTTCTTCAGTTTGGTTCAACAGATCTATAATTATTTCTCTGCATCAACTCAGAGCCGGCAAATTCTAGCTGGCCATGTATCAGACTTGGGCATGACTGCTAAGCCATTGAGGGAAACAAGGTGGGAGAGTCGAGCTGATGCTTTGAAACAAATGAAATATCATGTTGGTAGTATATACAGTGGTACCTCGGGTTAAGAACTTAATTTGTTCTGGAGGTCTGTTCTTAATCTGAAACTGTTCTTAACCTGAAGTACCACTTTAGCTAATGGGGCCTCCCGCTGCCACCGCCACACAATTTCTGTTCTCATCCTGAAGCAAAGTTCTTAACCTGAGGTACTATTTCTGGGTTAGCGGAGTAAAGATTTATCTGGCAATACTTCTAGAATTGCAGCTAAGGCCCTTGCTGTTGCAATTTGAAAGTTACATGATACAACACCCTTTTTGAAGTCAATATTACAGGCAAGCTACTACACAATAAGTAAGCCAATTTAAATTCAGCTACAAGCCAATTGCAAATGACCAATAATTACCCTGTGGGCTGCAGGTGTAAAGCCAGTGAGATTGCAAAAGAGCTAGGACTACTACCAGACTTTGAGACAAAACAAGTTAGAAAATAATAAAGAAAAACCAATTGGAGTATGAGGCCCAGAGACACCACAAGATCCAAAGTAGAAATTCAAAGTAGGTTTCTACTATGCTGTCTTAAACATGGTCATATAATCTGTTGAAGAAGAGGTTCCAACAGCTGAGACAATTTAATTCTCTAGTTGGCTTCCCATATGATATATATACAGTCTTAAGATGTATTTAAGGCCTGCAATAATTTAGAAAAACCGTTGATGCATAAATGGGCACAAAGGTATTGATGCTGAAGATCTGTGCTGTGAACTTACAGGAATAACTTGAAGACTTCCAAAGTCTATGCTGCCATAAAGATTACTTCTCTTCATAGTACAACAAAAACTCATCTTCTCACACTGCCAGTGTCAGTAGCAAATGGCGAATGCGGTTTCTTAAAGATCAACCTTATAAAAACTTGCATACGCTGAACAGTGTTGCAAAAGGGGCTTGGCAACTATACCAACTGAACATCCTCAAGAACTTGAGCTAAAGGAATTGGTGGCAGATTTTGCAAAGGAAAAGTGAGGTGTTGATGTGCCTGAAATTGAAACTTTTACCAGACTTAACTTTTAACATCGCAGTTCACAAGATTATTCACAATGATTTGTGTGCTAAAGCATTTTCTTTTGCATTTGAAAAAATAAAGATTGTTGCATTACTTATCCTTGCCATTTAAAATAAATTTAGCAGTTTCACGTTTTTCACTCCCCCACCCCACCCCACCAAGACATCTCTTTTTGAAAATTGGAATTAGCAATGGGCTGGGTGGGTGGGGCAAGTAGTTAGCCTTCCCTGAAGCGCAAAATAGCCTGACACCAGGATTAGGTAATACTTAAGACTTTTGAAGCACACCTACTCGAGATTTACTTTCCACTCAACATGATTCCGTTGGCGGGATTTCTGACCAGCCTCCACCCAGCACCACAGTATTTACCCTGTGGAGAAACAAATTACCTCAGCATTGCTTACAAAGAGTATGCGCAAAACTCGCGCGCGACGAAAAAGCCGGACCACTCTCTCTTCGAGGCACTTAAGAAGAAGCTTCTCCAACAACTCCCCACCTCCTGCACCATTTGGCAAGCTGAGGGTAACTGTCCTACCAGCGACATTTTGGAGGGAACTGCGCTCTGCTACCCATTAACAAGCCTCCGCCTTAAGCGACGCCCCTCCCTCTCGCACGCGGGCCACGAGGGCGCTTGCCCGCGCTGTCAATCACACGCGAGGAATTTAGAAGCGCTCCAGCCAATCCGAGCGGCCGCCTAAATCCGGCGGTTTATTGGGGCACGCGGAGAGGCGGGGCGAGCCGAGGCGACGGTTTGGTCGCGCGAGGGCGGCGTTGACAACCGCTGCTCGGGTGGCTCCTTCCCTTCCTCTCACGGCAGTACCGTCCCTGTTGGCTCCCCTCTCCCGCCATGTCCGACTGGGAGGCGGAAAGTGAGGAGGACGAGGCCCGCCAAGCTCCCGCCAAACCCTCTCCGGCCGAGTGGCGCCCGGTGACGGCGAGGGCTAGTGGGAAACGTGGCTCCGCGGGCAAAGACGACGAGGAGGAAAGAGGCGGTGGCGGGAGGAAATGGGGTTCGCGGCCGGCGCCTTCCCGCGAGCCGTGGCAGTCGGGGCCCTTGGAGTACCGGGCCCGAGGCCCCTTCCGAGGGGCGGGCAGGGAGCGTGCCGGGTCGCCGCCGCTGTGCTTCTACCTGGATAACTCCCTCGTGGGCACCCTCATAGGTAGCGGTGGCTGTCCGTGAGGAGGAACTTGGAGTTCTCTCTTTTTGGGGGGCGGGTGGAGAGAAGTCCCCTCTTCCCCCAAACACTCTCTCTCTATATATATTTATACATATTATTTTATATATATATATATATACATATATATATATATATATATATATATATATATACACACACACACACACGAAAGCGCAAACGGGGGGGGGGGGGGGCGCCCTTGCTTCCCTGGCAAAGCAGGTTACTGCTGTGAACAATCCTAAGCGTGGCTTCGGACTCAGTGTTGGACTTGACTCCCTTGCTGATTGCAGTGGACAGTGTGTTGAATTTGGACGGCCTCCTGGATAGTAAATTGTATAATATCACATTGTTTATGAGACTGGGTTATATGCTACTTAACAGTGCACACTCTATGTAGAAAAAGTGGCTGGGTAAACAAATAGGCTCCTCTCCCAGAAAATAAATAGCACCCTGCAACCTCGCAGGGCTGTTTTTAAGGTCAACTCAATAGAGCACCCTGTGAATTCATGAGTATATGCCTTTTGCTTGCTACATTTGTACAGTGTTTTTCTGCTAGTGCAGAGGTGGAGTTATATGTTTGTGCACTATGTCGGGAAAGGGCAAGGGAGGAAAGATAGATTTATTAGCTAAAAAGTGATAAAGACCACAGTCCTCACCCCACTTACCTGGGAGAAAGGCCCCATAAATTCAGTAGGACTTAGTTCTGAGTAGACCCACTGTTGGATTTGACTCTGTAAGGCTGGGAATAAGTAATTGAACTCAGTGGATCTTGAGTCTGAGTAGACATGAACAGGATTGCACTGTTAAGGATGTCCAGAAATAAGAACTTTATAGTATTGAAAAGAACTGTCAGGGGTCTTTTACCTTTACTATGGTGTACTTAGTTTCTCTTTAAAAGAGAAAGAGCTGACTTTATAAGCATTAGCACTTTTGCAACATAACTGATGTCAAATCTGAATGAACTGTCACTGGAGATAGAGAAATGGAAAGGAAACTCATGCCTGCAATTCCCTATGCAAAATGGTGTAGCCCTAATATTTTCCTTTTCATGAATTGGGTGGCCAATAAAAAGAAAAAGCAGCAGCAGAATTCTGTTCATTGTGGGCATGGAACAGTAAGCCTAGGAAATGCATATGTATCAAGGCCCAAAAGACGATTGACAGAGGGAGGCTGTCAAAGGTACAGAGAGTGTCTAAGGGACGTCCAGATTCTTAAGACTATCTGTTTTAGCCCCATGCAAAAATCCATTTCTGTAATTGAGTTGCACCCAAATCTCTAATACTATGTTTACAAACTTTGGTGTTCTTTAAATGGTTTAGTTTAGCTTTGTACATAGGGAAAAGCGTGTTCACTGAAATATGTGAAAGTTGCATAAATATTATCACTATTATATTGGTGGTCTTATGTCACAAGTTCATTATGTCATTTTGCAACAAAATATTAGTTAACATAGGGATAGGAATTGTTCATCTGGGGAAAACCTAAGAATTGCTCAGCTTCACTTCTGAGTGTTTTTATTTAAAAATTTGCACCCTCTTTAGATGCCTCCAGACTCTTGCCCTTGGTTCCTTTACTTGTGATAGAAATAATGTTTGCATTTTGCCAGTAGCAGTATGCATTGTTCTATTTTTGAAAACATTTAGCTAAAATTGGAATGTGGCCAAATTTTGCATATGTATTTTAATTTTGCAACAGGTCGAAGTGGAAGTAAAATAAAAGAGCTTCAGGAATCATCAGGTTGTAAAATACAGGTGAGGCACTAATTTTTTTTAAATGTGTTTGTTTCAAAAAACCCAGTCTTTACTCAAAAGACTGGTTGTTGCATTGCAAAATAACTGCTTTTCTTTGCATGTGTATATTTGTGATCACAAAGCAATTAACAAAGGAATTGGGGAGAAAATGTCTAGTGTGTAGTACTTTATGTACTTGAGTCAGTTTAGTGGTGCTTAACTGAACTTAAATGGGGGGGGGGGGATGCTGCTATACTGTTTTTAATCCCCAAGCGTTTCCCCCAAACAAGTAAAACCTCAGTACTATTTATGATTGTACATTATGGTAGTGTAACATTTGGTAAGCATCATCAAAAACACATGGATTGTGCCAGCAGATGGGTAAGGAGTGACTTCCAATGAAGAACAAAGATCCTGTTGAAAACCACTGGGACTATTGACCAATGATGCAGATTTTCTGGAAAATTTACCAGAGTCCTAAATCTATTTTGTTTTTATTTAGGCCACAGTTCTATACCAGCTTCCCTGGGAGCAAGCCCCACTAAACTTAATGAGACTTGCTTATGAATCAAATTACACAGGCAGCTTGTTAGACATATATTAATAAACATGATTAAAATTGTTAATTTAACATACTCTATAAATAGCTTAGAAGTTTTTCCTACAGCTAAAGATTTTTCAACTGAAATTATTTAGTAAGGAAAAAATTAATAAAGCAAACATAATGTAGATGGATACATTATTCATATCAGTTCAAAAATTATATCCAATATTAGTCATGTTTGGAGTAGAACCACTGAAATTAATGGGCATAGCTAACTTAGATAAATTTCAGTGGGTCTAGTTTGAGTAGAACTTGGATGCAGCTCACAGCTTTTTTTACTAGAGTATTTGAAAATATTTTAGGAGATGACAAATTGTTAGCACACTCTCACCTTATATTGTTTGGATTTTAAAGAAAGGGCTGAATATGAGTTATAAAATATTTCCTGGGTATATACCCTTTTTCATATATTATGCACACTCCAGTTAATACATTGAATGAGAGCATGGTCATATCTTCTGGCCCTGTCTTCTGTGGAAGAAGTGAGTAGATTCTTCATGGATCCAGGTATGTGTGGGTGTGTGCACATGTTTGTAATTAGAAATTTCCATGCAACTGTGGTTTAGTGCTATATGCACAAGCTGGAGTGAGCCCCAACTTGCTTCCTTTCCTGTGTGGCCGGAACTGGACTTTGGCATCATTTAGTTTTGGTTTCTCCTAATCTTGGATTGTTATTGCAGCTTCAGAAGAAGTGATAGTTTCTGTAGGTTGGTTGTTAAACTAAACCAGACTTGGTTATAAACTGCAATCTCTGGTTCACAAGCAAAGATGATCTGAGAAGAAACTGAAACGTAATGCCACCAAAGTCATCCCAGTCATGTGGTAGGGTGTGTGTATTTATTCATATGACATTATAATTTAGTACTATATGTAAACTGCCCGCAGAGTGTTCTCACTTTTTGCTGACTGCACAGAGGTTAGTGCCAGCTGGTGCACAAAGGGTGGGGGCAGTAATGACAATCCTGCTGTCCCCACACCTTGATAGAATGTATGGACGAAATATGAGAAGACTGCATTAATTTTCTGATAAAAGTTAATGTAACTTTGAAACTGCCTAAGGTACTAGACTCCTATCTGTTATGTTACTTTTTCTCTTTGTAATGAAGCAAGGCATATTTAGAAATGGAAAACTTTCAACCTGATATATTGCTTCTCACTGCAAGATATCCAAGTGGTTTAGGAAATCTTACTTGTACTTATCAATTAACTTTTTAGTGCCCAGAAAGACAATTTTAGAGCGGTATATTACACCAATCTAATATCTGATCCTTCTACTAAGTAAAAAAACCTTACATTTAGGTTGTAAAGGGCAATTATGAAGCTGAAATAAAGATATTTGGTGGTAATGATAAGCAAACAAAAGCCAAAATGATGATTGATGATCTTATTGAGAGGTGCAGCCAAAGCAACGCAGGAGAAAGGTATGTTAAAGGTAAGAATTTAAAACTTGATATGTATTTTATATTTAAGCTTTCTCTTCAGACTGATCTGCTTGTATAAAACCCAGATTAGAGTTATCCACTCTGTTGAAGAGACATTTATAAACTGAAAGCTAGTAGGGAGTGTAGGAATATCCAGAGGAGTTCATAAAGCTGCCCTTGTGATGCATCCAAAAATAAAACATGGTATTGGTTCACATAGTTTGTCTTTAGATTGCAGTGAAATGAAACAGTTCTGTGGTTCGTAATTAAACTTTTTATCTGGATTCCCAAGAACTAATTTAAGCTGCATAATCTGATATAAAATGTTTAACCAAATCAGAACCTAATTTTGTTTTAACAGATGGCTTTAAACACCAAGATTTTGGAACCACTCGTTATGAAGAAAGTCATTCCGGTGCTTTGAAGTCGGGATACAGTAATCCAAAGCAATCCATTAACTGGGCCTCCCTTCGAGAAAATAAAGCTAAATATGAAGCTATGAAGTGGGCTGGTTAGTGTAACATTTTTTTTTAAGGAATTGTAGGTGGTCATCCTTCAATATAAATGCTTTATTAGCTGTGAAAATCATCTACTTTGATATGTAAGAAATTCTGAGAACATTTGATCATCTATTGATTTTGTTATATTTATTAAAAACTGCCTGGTATGTGGTCACGGTTGAACGCAAAAATCAGATAAGATCTGGTGTAAAGGCCATAGTGTTAGTGCAGTATTTTAAGTGTCATATCACACTGAGGTAGCACCTTGGTACAAAAAAAGGCTTTCAATTAGATATAAAAGGTTGTGCTAACACAATATACTATATTTACCACACTTCATGCACTAATTTAATGCCACTACAAAACATGGGTGCCAGGGTCCATAGGCATACTTACCCACAGAGTTAGGCATATAATACATCGACAAGTCTACAGCACTATAGGACATTCCAGTTGTTCACACTAATGTGATTGGTCACTCAGGCAGACCCTGGATGGGTGTATTGTTCGCATGTTATAAGAATCACTGGAGAGGAGTCTATGAGTCAGAAGTAACAGTGAAACCAGGGTACTGAATTCAAAATGTCTTGCTGTGCCTGTAGAGATTTAAAAATTAATCCTTGAATACAAAGCTGGGGAGAAGTAGTATCTTGATATACAAGGCTGCCCATCATCCACATCTCAGTTTACAGATCAGTACTGACTGTGGTACAAACTTTTTAAAAAGAAAGGTCAAAACTTGTTTTTTGTGGTTGGGTGTTTTTCTTCTCTTTTTTAATCTAGTGAAACTGTGTGAATATGGAAAAATGAATTTCCATACTCATGCTATGGTTTCTAGTAAAGGGAAAGTGTTCAAGGGCTTATTGATAGCCCTTCTTTGGGTGATAAATATATTTGGTGTAGTTTCTTATTGGCATTTCTTTGCAAGCCATGTTGAATTGTGTGTCTGCTCAATAGAACTACCTGTAAAAATGAGGAATAGGCTGGCATGGGAATAGAGTTCAGGGTTGTTGTTTTTAATGAAGATGGTGTTCTTTTCTATTCTTAGTAGTTTGAGAAGTTACTTTTTAAAATAACCCATTTTCCCTTTAATTTTATTAGATTTGCCTCCAATTGAAAAATGTTTTTACAAAGAATCTCTAAAGGTTGCTTCAATGTCACAAGAAGAAGCTGATAGGTGGAGGTAATAATTTAAATTGGAAAGTTGTATGGCCTATTGGAAAGTTGGGTTGATTTTTAAATGGATTATAGTTTTAAGAAGGTGAAGGCAATGTCTGCAAAGTAGTAGGTAATACTGAGTTTCGATGCACACCATAAGACTAGGCTGTGTGCATATTTCACACAGGATAGGTCTTACATGCCATTTTTATTTGGGGGTAGGATTGAAGCGCATAAGCTCATTGTATAGCTTGTAAGGTTTGAAAGCTGATGCCATCAGCCATGGAACATTTCCAGAGGTATGCACTTTAAAATGTCTTACGTGAATGTAACATAAACATTTGAAAATGCATCTGTAATCAGAGAGCCTGGTTTGATTGGAGCTCTTGGACAAGTGTACATTCACTACAAACCCTGGCTTTCTATTATGTAATAGTTTGAAAGAACCTTAATTAATCTTTAATCATGTTTATGATTTGCACTAAATCATAAAACTCCTTGCATGCAGTGGGACTTAGTTGTCATCATAGCTTCTGTTGACAAAGGTCATGTTTTGTTTTTACTAGCAGCCTCTACCACTGGCTTTGATTATGTTTAGTGCATAATAATGTTAAGCAACTTTTATCTAGTTGTTGGCATAAGCTAATTATGGAAATGATAACAAAGTGGAAACTACATGATTTTTTGCTCTAGATATTTAATACTTTGTCTGGAATTGATAAATAAACCATTTTGTCTGCTATCAGTATAATATTATCTCTTTATGTTGTCTTTTAAAGAAAAGAAAATAATAATATCACATGTGATGACCTGAAAGATAATGAAAAACGTCACATTCCCAATCCTATTTGTATATTTGAAGATGCTTTTATGCATTATCCTGACATTATGGCAAATATAAAGAAAGTTGGCTTTCAAAAGCCTACCCCAATTCAGGTATTTTAGTTTTCTTTATTTCTGAATAGTGTAGAAACTGTGCTGTTTAAATAGTAGGCCCTATGTAATAATATACTGTTTATTTTAGTCACAGGCTTGGCCAATAATACTTCAAGGATTTGATCTCATTGGAATAGCGCAGACTGGTACTGGAAAAACGTTGGCTTATCTAATGCCTGGGTTCATTCACTTGGATTTGCAGCCAATGTAAGAAGTAACTGGAATAAGATTTGATTTATTCTGTGCCTGGTGGGTTGTTTTTGTTAATCAAGTTAATAAGATTTAACACAATCTTGGTCACAAGAGCTGTGTGTGAAACTACTATCATGCTTTTTGTCATCCAGCCTGTTGCACTGTCAGTTGCCATTCTTTTCTCTTGCATACATACAGTAGTCCATAAACTGCAAAGAGATTCAGCAATGTATTCTTTTTAATGGTTATAGAGTTTGCAACAGTTAAGGTTGTTGTTATTTTTTTAAATCAATGCTATCATAAACAAGTCAATAGAAACATTGTTGTGCTCTACACAGGAAGACATCCCACCCCTGCTTTACCTCTTAATTCTAAAAGCAGGCTTCTGTCAACATTGGGAGGCAGACTGCAGCTCTGTGATTTCCTTAAGAGATGGAACATTTCAGATGGGATTTAAAAAGCAAACTCTCCAACCTCATAAACCCAGCTATGAATTACTATCTATATTTACATGATAGCCACCATGATGCTATGGCTATGGCTATGGCTATGGAGTCCCAGTGATGTGTACTCTTGCTCAGGGATGCCAAGTTAGCAGGTGCTTACCAGTCTAGGTTATTTTACACCTCCCTAAGTTACAGCTTAAGGGATGCGGGTGGCGCTGTGGGTTAAACTACAGAGCCTAGGACTTGCCAATCAGAAGGTCGAGGGTTCGAATCCCCGTGACGGGGTGAGCTCCCATTGCTCAGTCCCTGCTCCTGCCAACCTAGCTGTTCGAAAGCACGTCAAAGTGCAAGTAGATAAATAGGTACCGCTCCGGCAGGAAGGTAAATGGCATTTCCATGTGCTGCTCTGGTTCGCCAAAAGTGGCTTAGTCATGCTGGCCACATGACCCGGAAGCTGTATGCCAGCTCCCTCGGCCAATAAAGCAAGATGAGCGCCGCAACCCCAGAGTCGGTCACGACTGGACCTAATGGTCAGGGGTCCCTTTACCTTTTAAGTTACAGCTTAACCCAGCAGCCCTGTCTTTTCTTTTTATTCTTTCCCAAGCATCTGGGCATTGTGATGCACAAACATCCATTCTTCTTACTCCCATGAAACCAAGTTACTTGGTTTGCATTGCCATAGTATGTAGGCAGCTAATGTCATAAAGTGTTTTTCTAAGTGATGTATGTGTGCTTTTGAACTTACTTCCAGGTAATTATGCTTTGAAATGTGGCCTTAATTAATTCTAACCAAAGTTAAATGATACTTGTATGCAAGCCAAACAGCATAGTTAGCAAGCATAGTTTTCCTCTGTTCTCTTTTTAAAATATCGCCTTTTGTATTTTTTATGTATAACTGCTAACTAAACAAAGTTGGATTTTCTTACAGACCTAGAGAAAAACGTGGTGGACCAGGTATGTTGGTTCTCACTCCCACTCGAGAACTGGCTCTTCAAGTTGAGGCAGAGTGCTCAAAATATTCCTATAAAGGAATTAAAAGGTAATATTTACATCATCTTCATTACTTTGGCAGTGGTACTGCAATGTGTCACAATATCTCTGAAAGACACCACTGTGAAACACTTCAAGTAGTATTTTTATGTTTACAGTCTTTTGATGGATTTATTAGTATTTAACATCTACAAATTCCCAATAGTATGCCAAATACTGTATGGACTGCAGTAGAGATTATAATCTCTATCTAGAAATTTTACAGTCTTCAACTGCCACCTTCTAGCTTTCTTGTGATCATGTTTAAAACTTTTCATTCCTACATCTGACTAAAATAAGCATTCCTAAGTCCCTCCAGATGTTTAGGAGAAACATAAACATTCTAGTTCAATAACGACATATATTTAAATAACTTTATCAGCGTTTCTAAAGAGTTGTTCAAATTCTATTCCTGCTACTAAAACAGGACAATCCCACAGTAATCAAGAGGACAGCTGCCACTTACCAAGAGGGTCAAAAGGCCTGGTGCATGTGCAGCAGTGGAGCCAATCCAGTACTCCTGCTGCTTCACCCATCTGCACTGAGTTCCCTGCACCTTTCCCTCTCAGTAAGCAGAAGTGACGCTCAGCATCAGAAAGACAGACAGGCAACTCTGCCCTGCCTGCCCTACCTCACAACCTGCTGGTGAGACATGGCCAAGCCATGGCAAGAAATAATGCTGCAGTGGAGCCACTGCTGCATCTCCAGTCCTGTTCCTCTCTGTGGTTAGGGTGGAAAGTGGGAGGGCAGCCAAATCAGTGTGCCAGCCTGGACCTGGTGCAGTAGTGAGGCTCAGTGTTGTGAAATGAGAGCACAGGGGACTAGGTTGGGATCCAGAAGACCAGCCCCTCCCTCGGAACACTCTTCTTCTGTTGTACAGTGGTGCCCCGCAAGACGAATGCCTCGCAAGACGGAAAACTCGCTAGACGAAAGAGTTTTCCGTTTTGGAGGTGCCTCGCAAAACGAATCTGCTATGGGCTTGCTTCGCAAGACGAAAATGTCTTGCGAGTTCCTGGTTGTTTTTTTTCCTTTTCCCCCTCTTTTTTCTAAGTCGCTAAGCCGCTTATCTGCTTATCCGATAAGCTGATAAGCTGCTAAAAGCCGCTAATAGCGCTAATAGCGCTAATCCGCTAATCCCATCAATGGGCTTGCTTCGCAAGACGAAAAAACCGCTAGACGAAGAGACTCCCAGAACGGATTCTTTTCGTCTTGCGAGGCACCACTGTACAAACTTGGCAGATGAGAATCCCCCTGGCAGTACTTCGTTCAGCCTCGCATTCAGCAGGCACATCAGGGAACTCTGCACCAGCAGAATGATGGCATCAGACTGCACAGGGTGTTCCTCTGCCTAAGTCAACTCTGCAGTCCAGCACAAAGAGGATTTGGACTGCAGCCAAATTTACATGAAAAAATAAATCATGCAGGGTATTTAATGTAACCTGTGTTCAATGTAAAAATTAAAAATGCACTGTAGCATGACCATATAGTTTTAATTTAAAACAGCTAAATACTGGATAAACTCTCTCTAGCATTTGCATATATGGTGGCGGAGACCGGAAAGGGCAGATCAGCGTGGTTACCAAAGGTGTGGACATTGTTATAGCTACGCCAGGTAGATTGAATGACCTCCAAATGAACAACTTCATAAATCTGAGGAGCATTACATACCTGGCAAGTAGTCAAAATGTTGTATTAAATTGGGAGTAATGTGCAAGTATAACCTGCAAGAAAATATTGCAATAGGGAACTTTCATGCTTTTTTCCAGAATACTCCACTCTGTTCCTGCTAACCACTGTCATCATACCTCCAACAGTAAACATTGCATGGAAGTGGCCAAGATCATAGAACTGTAGAGTTGAAAGGGACTCCAAGGGTCATCTAGTCCAATCCCTGCAATGCAGGAATTTCAACTAAAGCACCCATGGGAGATGGCCATCCAACTTTTGCTTAAAAACCTCCAAGGAATGAGAGTTCACAACCTCATGAGGGAGACCATTCCACTAGGGACGCGGGTAGTGCTGTGGTCTAAACCACTGAGCCTCTTGGGCTTCCCGATCGGAAGGTCAGTGGTTCAAATCCGCGCAACGGGGTGAGCTTCTGTTGCTCTATCCCAGCTTCTGCCAAACTAGCAGTTTGAAAGCATAGCAGTACAAGTAGATAAATAGGTACAGCTGCAGCAGGAAGGTAAGCAGTGTTTCCATGCACTCTGGCACTCATCATGATGTTCTGTTGCGCCAGAAGCAGTTTAGTCATGTTGGCCACTTGACCCGGAAAGCTGTCTGCAGAGAAACGCCATCTCCATCGGTGTGAAAAGCAAGATGAGCGCCACGACCCCATAGTCGCCTTTGACAGGACTCAACTGTCCAGGGGTCCTTTCCTGTTTACCTTTTACTATGGATATAATGAAGAGGAGTGTTAAAAAAATAGAAGGACAGGGCTAGTAATGCTAAAGAATTCAGAATGTCTGGTAATATTTTAGTCACAATATGAACAAATGGTATAAAGGTCCTTTTATTTAATACAAATGAATATGTTTTTCAGATCAGGTGATTTTCAGTTGGAAGATGTCTTTGAACATCAAGTTTTGTTAAGTAATCACATAATTGTTCCTTTAGGTGTCCTACAACAGGATCTACCACAACCATCCATTGGTGCATGAGCAGAAAGTTATTGCATATATGGGGAGGTGAGAGGGGAGGGGAAGTTGGAAAACTGTTGTGTAAATGGGTGCCCAAGGGCACAGTTTTGGCTCACAGCCTTGGTTACATGGTAAGCATGCAACATTATCTTCTAAAACAAGTATGTCTCTGAAGCACTTCTTTTAGTTCATATATAGCGTTACTATGTCTAATTCTACATTATTCACAGTGCAACTAGAAACATTTCCTTAAGGAAATGTATTTTATCTATGTTATGTACAACAGTCCCAGAAAGAAGTTAGGTAGATTTTGAGTCAAAATAGAGGTATTGTGTTGGGAAAGCCAAAGGACATAGCAACGAGAGTATACATCTAAAATGAACTTGTACATGCTCTGCAGATAATAGTTTAGAAATTTAGTGGTTTTGGCATGGAGTTTCAGAAAGCCAACAGTTTATAAATATTGTGTTTCACAGGTGTTGGATGAAGCTGATAGAATGCTAGATATGGGTTTTGAGCCTCAAATAATGAAGATTTTATTAGACATACGCCCTGATAGGCAAACGGTTATGACCAGGTATGTGTGCCTTTTTGGTGGTTCATGGCTTCATCTGAAGATGTGTTTTAATGGAAAATATGGTATCTGGATGCTACATCCCAAAGTTGTTTTATGCAATTTATTATAATGACCTTGGGGAGAAAGATAAGTGTGAAATATTGTTTTATTACATTTGCATACCACCTTTTCCTCCATGTAGCTCAAGGTGGTGTACATGTTTCTCCTCCACATTTAATCCTCGCAGCAAGCCTGAGGTAGGATAGATGGAGTGTGTGTGACTGCAAGGTCACCCAGTGAGCTTCATGACTGAGTGGGGATTCAAACCCATGTCATCTTCCAGCACTCTAACCATTACACCACATGGAAGCTTTCATCAGTCCAGCGGACTGGTAGAATTCAGGCACCCACAACTAAGGGGAGCCTATAAAACACAGGGTTCTTTCTCCATCTGGCCACTCTCCTCTGCCCTAGGAGGAAAGAAGCACCTTGCCAGCCCTGTCTGTGCTCAGCACTTTCCAAAGTGCCAAGTGTAGGGCTAGCAACACCACTTGTACTGTATAGCAGTTGTCAAGCACCCATCAGTCTCGCTTGCAAGGGATTTTGACAGGTGGACAGGATAATTCACCTGTCAGTTGAGTGGAATCATAAAGGTATAATGTGATTGACAGTTGAGTGGCCCAACCCACCTGTCAAATTTGCCCCACAAGGCCAGTCCTGATAAGGATCTGGCCCATGGAAGCAAAAAGGTTCCTCATTCTGGAATTAAATCAACACCTTTCTATAGAGAAACTTTATTCTTGGGCAACTGAATTCTTTATTTATTTTGTTGTTTTTCATTGTAGCAAACTATTTGCAACTGCCTTGTTCATATTTAGGATGGAAGCATGAGAATGCAGGACAGTAATAGGGTTGAAATACAAAATGACTTTCCTTTTCATTCCTACCAGTGCTACATGGCCAGATGGTGTCCGCCGTCTTGCAAAATCATATTTGAAAGATCCTATGATTGTGTATGTTGGTACTCTTGATCTAGCGGTGAGTTGTTTTCTGTTTTGGGCTTATTACTCCTGTGTTGTTTTTAATGAGACTGCATAAACGGGACAATGTCTAGTCTTGATTTGTGTGTGAACTAGGCTGTATTTATAAAAGATATAGCAACTCAAAATCTAATAATATCCCAGGCTAAAATGAAAATTATAAAATGGAAATCTTAATAATGCAAGAAGTTACAGATTGCAACATTTTTTTCTTTAAAACAATTTTATCATATTCTTCAGCCTAAAAGACTGCCAGAATGGCTTGCAAATGTCCCAGCCTTTATTCTTTGCAGTCTAAAAACATGTTGGAAAAGGGGATGGGAGGAAAGAGGAAAAACACTGTTTTAGTTCATAATTCTTTTAATAAGCAGCTGGAATGGAAAGATATCAAGGAGAGGAGGAGCCAAAAGTTCCGGTGAGCTGAAAGGCTCTATGGCCCCATCTCTGTTCTCTCCTGAAGAGAGATAATTTAAGCTTCCTCTTTCTCATGCACAGAATAAGAGCAGTATTGTCTATTCCTGCCCACTGGGTAGACCTGGGTAAGACTTTGAGACCTTCAGACATCTATGTATATATACAACATTTCAACAAAGTGTGTATGTCTAAAATCCAATGCTTGTGAGCTGAAACTGGTCAATTTTTCAGTTTTGAGGCAGGAGTCATGGTAAAATCATCCATGTTATTTGGGATTGTGCATGTTGGGTTTTAGGCATATCCATTTATACCCAAAATGCAATGTGCATAATCCCAAATAAGATGGCTAATTTACCATGACCCCTGCAAAATTAACTGATCTGCCCTCCACAAAACACTGGAATTGGAAAGCTCTGGTAGAATCATTGCCCCTGATTACAAGCCAGACCTGTTAGTCACAGTGAAGTGCTTCCTCCACCCTTGTGTTTTTTCTATATCTGGATCACTGAGGTTACACACTTCAGGGTTCCCTGCTCTGTGTTACTCATGCAGCTTTGTAGAGATGCTACTTTACCTTGGGAAGTCCAACATCTCTCCAAGGCTTCACCATGGAATTCAGGATTCTTCCTAGGGAAAAGCAGCCTTAGCAAGAGGGTTGTGTGCCTAACTATCGCCCAGTCATTTAAAGGGGAGAGTATTTGAATCGGAGACTAATCAGACCCACAGAAGGCATTGGATCTGGATTCTCTGGTTTGTGGTTTGCAATCTAAATGATTTAGGTGGGATTTATTTTCAAATAAACATGCCACAACAGCCAGTTCTAGTCAAACCTCACGTTCAAAGTCTACATGCATAGTACCTGAATAGTCTTCCAACATGATAATTCTTTGATTCTATGTTGAGATTCCTGCATCGCAAGGGGTTGGACTATATGACCTACAGGATCCCTTCCAACTGTACATTTCCATCTCGAACTCTTTCAGTATCCCTAGCTATAACGAAGTATGTACAATTCTTAATTGATACTTTTACAAGGTTCAAATTCACATTCAGGTTTCCTTTGATTAAATTTGGTTTTCTAGGCAGTAAATACAGTGGAACAGAAAATTGTTATTATTCCAGAAGAAGAAAAAAGAGCTTTTACACGTTACTTCATTGACACTATGAAGTCTGAAGATAAAGTCATCATTTTTGTGGGAAAGAAGCTTACGTATGTAGAAGAAATCTAACATGAATATTTGGCTTACTGCCTACATTTGTCATTCACTATTAACCATTAAATATGATTTACAGGTGCCTTATTATTGAGTCAGGCCACTGGTCCATCTAGCGGCTAGCCCAATATTACCTTACTGTATTATGTTAGTTGAGTTCTAGGGCCTACAGCAAAGGTCTTCTCCCATCACCTTTTGTCTGTCTCTTGAAACGGAAATACTAGGGATTAAAGTTTGGGCGTTTGCATAAAAAGCATGTGCTCTTCCAGTCAGTTATGGCCTTTTAAATTTAGATTCTTTAGAATTTTAGATACAAAATTTAAGCTACATTTATTTTCAGCTCTTAATATTTGGTGATGTGCTCTAATTAATTCCCTTTTCAAGAAGTAGCAGCAGGGCATTGTTTGACCTCTTGGAGTCTGGTTCCATCTTAAGCCATGTCTGGGGGAGGAAGAACCCACAGACTGGCTCAGTTTCTTGAATCAATAAGCAGGGTAATCCCAAGCTCCTCGCTTTCCCCCCACTTATATGATCAAGATACGGTGCTGCACATAGCAGCATTTAACCAAAGTGTATGTTACTTTTGTTTACCAGGATGTGTAAGAGTTACCCATAAGAGAAGTTATGTAAAATGTCATATCGTTTATATGATTCTGCTATATGCCACTTAACAGTGCGCTCTATGTCAAAAAAGTGGTTGGGTAAACAAATAGTCTCCTCTCCCAGACCAGAAAACCAGAAGTAGAGCCAGATGTTTTCAAAGCTAAGTGCAGCATGTCAAAACAGCTAAAAAGTATGGGTTTCTTGCAAAAGGTCTTGGCCCCTAAGCTGTGCTTGAGGTGACATGAATTTGTCCAGTCACCTCTGGTAGCAAATTCCAGATGCAATGTGAGAAGAAGTACTACTTTTTGTCCCCCAAATCTCCCACTGTTCAGTTTCATTGGATGGCCTGGGGTCTTGTAATATATGAAAAAGGAGAAGAAACTATAGCCATTTCTTCTACACCATACATCATTTTATACACCTCAATCATGTCCTCCTTTAATCACCTTTATTCTAAACCAAAAAGCTCCAAATTTAGTCTTCCCTAATATACAAGTTGCTCCACCTCCTCAATAATTTACGTCTCTTATATTGCTTCACGCTTCTTGGTTGGATCCAGATTTCAAGTATGACTAAGTTATGACTAACCTTAGGTAAAGGTAAAGGTACCCCTGACCATTAAGTCCAGTCACGAACGACTCTGGGGTTGCGGCGCTCATCTCACTTTACTGGCCGAGGGTCCCAGCGTTTGTCCACAGACAGCTTCCGGGTCATGTGGCCAGCATGACTAAGCCGCTTCTGGCGAACCAGAGCAGTGCACGGAAACACTGTTTACCTTATCTACTTGCACTTTGACATGCTTTCGAAAGTTCCATTAATTTCAAGGGTTCTACTCTTAACATGGGTTAGTGTGAATCCAACCCATGACTTTTCTTTGTACTGTACTGTAATTCCTTACCTATTCTAAATAGAGCAGCTTGACTTCTGAGAATTCAAATTCTCCTGATAGCAAAGAAATGTCAGGAAATGCTGGTTCTCATCTATTTTCAAATATAAAAAAGAATAGTTTCAGCATATAATCTCAATAGGACACTTTTTCTTCAAACTCTTTTTGATTGACTCATGTTTCATAATGGGGCTAGCAGTACAATTCTTGGGAATAAACACGCATAGGATGGTGCTATCAGTCAAAGAAAACTGTTTACAACATAGTGATATAAGATGTAAAGGTTGTGTTAGGTATTCTGTTATATTTCGTATGCTATTGCTGAAATTTAACATTTGCAACAGAAATAATTCCATAATTTTTGCATATATTCTATTACAGTGGATTTAATCTAGACACATTTTCTTTAGCTGCTGAAATCAGAATTCTACTCCACTTCAGCCATAGAGTTCTTAAGTGACTTTTCAACCCTTCATCTCTGCATTAGTTCTCTGTCTGTGAAGTGAGAATATTTGCATTTGCCTCATAAGTGCATTTTTGGGAAACCACATCTCTACGCTGGTGATTTCTTTCTCCTTTTTTTCTATAAGGAAGTCTGGTAAATGCATACAATGTTTACTCGCTGATCATGAATCCTTTAGCAAGAGGACATTAAATGAGTTTCCTTGAACATGTGGAAGGAACAGAGTACCTGACATAGGGTATAGACTACTTATTTTAGGTACATGCAACTGTATCTCCAAATGTATGAACCAAGCAATCCTATGTGTTTTTTTAGTTTTTAACTTTTCTGTTTAGTGCCGATGACCTATCAAGTGATTTTGGTCTTCAGGGAATTCCTGTCCAGTCCTTACATGGCAATAGAGAACAATGTGATCGTGAACAGGCTTTAGACGACTTCAAGAAAGGTAAACTTGTAATTGATTAGAATCAGTTGTAGCATAACACTAAGCAACCAGTCATAACATATTTGCGGAAGAAGATGCAATACCACTCAGCAATGATTTTTTTTTAAAAAAAAACTAAAGCCTTGCTGGCTGTGTTTGCACATTAAGTCTCAGGGCAAGTTACAACAAATACATCACTAAAGCAGCATAAAACTATGGCAAGTTGTTGTGTGATTTATTGCTGCATGCAAATGTGGCCATTGAAAAGATTTACCATTGCTGCAATCCAACCATCCTTCTATAAGGATAGCAGAGAAACAGCCAGTGAAATGTTTTCTGACTTTCTGACTATCTTAACATATTTTTTTTGAAAAACAAGGCTATCTTTATTATTAAGGTGCATTTACTATAAGGTTGTGAATATTGCACTAAACTTTGGGAAATTTGGAATGTTTACATATTGTGTTTTTGTTTTGTATAATATTGTAAACCAATACAAAGAGGAAAAAATGGCATTTACAAAATAAATGTCCAGTCTTATGTATGAACAGTGTGAGATCAAATAAAAAGTTGTTGATTTCTCTACCTAGTTAAAAACTCTTGTCAGATCCCAATTTATGTCTTTTGTGAGGTATCAATATATGTCTCACTGTGCTTGTTCTAGGCAGAGTTCGCATACTGATAGCAACTGACTTGGCCTCCCGTGGACTTGATGTGCATGATATCACTCATGTCTTTAATTTTGACTTCCCTCGCAACATTGAAGAGTATGTTCATAGAGTAGGCCGTACTGGACGTGCAGGGTAAGTGGAATACTCTATATATAGTGAATTGGATCTCTGGAATGCGCCACTGTTATTTCTTAGAGGAACACCAGTGTTTTCTCCAGCACATTTTACATAGACAGGCAGCCCTGTTTAGGGAAGCTTTTAATGTTTAACAAACTATTGTATTTTAATATTTTGTTGGAAGCCGCCCAGAGTGGCTGGGAAAACCCAGCCAGATGGGTGAGGTATAAATAAAAAATTGTTGTTGTTGTTGTTGTTCCTCATTTGGGGACATCCAGAAACAATTAGAAACCAGCTATCTTGCTGAGATGCAAGTTGACATTCTACTTCAAAGAAGAAGAAGAAATGAGGTTTAAGCTGCTCACTAGTACTTCAGCCTAGGAGTTGCAACAGGGTATTTCGACTATTATTCCTCAGCACAACTCAATAAAACAAAACACCAAACTGATTTTATTTGAGTTGGCTATCTTGACAGTTTTGTGCTTGCTTTTTTTTCAGCCGCACAGGGGAAGCTGTAACCCTTGTGACTAGAAATGACTGGCGGAATGCATCTGAATTGATTGACATTTTGGAAAGAGGAAACCAGGTAGTGTTTATCATACCCACATTAGCAATTAGCCCTCTCCCTGACTTTCCCCCCAGACTTGAGGTATGTCTCAAAAGCTCTTTAATAAGAACATGTTTTTAAGGTATTGAAACTTTGTTCTTAATATTTACTTGTTTAAGATTTGTACCATGTCTTCATGCATATAGCCTCAAGTGGCTTACAATGCAAAAAAAAAAAAAAGCACCAGAAAAGTCACTGTTAACAAGTTGGTTTATGGAAACCGTTCAAACATAAAAAACAGCAAAAGGAAATAAAAATCACAACTACAGGTATGGAAAAACAACTGACCAGCTGGAATCAAGAGATAATAAATAATGGTAGTTTAAGTTCTAATAATACAGATTGTGTATTTGAATATATTTATTTCTGGATGTAATGGTAGTATCTTGTAAAAAAAAATTGCATGCATACTTAATGTCTGGGTGCATGTCTTTGTATTGTGAATGTGAAAGGAATGGCTCTTATAAGATGACACCCACCACTTTGGTCTCTGGTAATTTAAACTAACTTTCTAAAGCAGTTTGCATAGCAAAAGTTTGTGCTTTGTACCTTTCTCATCAGTAAGAGCTTGAATGGGGGAAATGTGATGCGTTCCAAGCAATTTGCAATGATGGGTAGACTTTATGCAAAACAGACATCACCTGCCAACATACCAGAGTTTAATGAAATGCAAACTAAATGGGAAGCTACTCTAAAAGACCTATTAAGCATTACACTTATAACTATCTTGCTGTAATAATATCCCAGTACAGTGGTACCTTGGTTTACGAACCTGATCTGTTCCGGAAGTCCATTCTTAAAACAAAACCGTTCTTAAACCAAGGCACGCGTTCCCTAATGAGGCCTCCCGCCACCAGTGCCCTTTCACCATTCGGATTCCGTTTTTAGACCGAGATAAAGTCAGTCTGGTGGTGCTGTGATCTAAACCACTGAGCCTAGGGCTTGCCGATTGGAAGGTAGGCGGTTCGAATCCCTGCAACATGGTGAGCTCCCGTTGTTCGGTCCCAGTTCCTGCCAACCTAGCAGTTCGAAAGCACGCCAAAAAAGTGCAAGTAGATAAATAGGTGGGAAGGTAAATGGCATTTCCGTGTGCTGATCTGATTTCGCCAGAAGCGGCTTAGTCATGCTGACCACATGACCTGGAAAAACTGTCTGTGGACAAATGCTGGCTCCCTCGGCCAGTAAAGCTAGATGAGCGCCGCAACCCCAGAGTTGTTCGTAACTGGACTTAACTGTCAGTGGTCCTTTACCTTTTTAAAAAAGTTCTCAAACCAGGACACTATTTTCAATTTTGCGGAGTTTGTAAACGGAATCATTCTTAAACCAGACTGTTCTTAAACCAAGGTACCATTGTGCTGTGTATTTAGCAGGTATCATAAAACTTATGGAAGGAGGAAATCTAATTTGATACGATACAAAGAATGAATATTAGCCTTTTTCAGTGTACTTAAGATAAAATATTTAATTCATGGAACAATAAATATTGATGTCAGCTGTATGAAAATATTGTTACCATGATTTTCTAATTATCAGGTAATTCCCGAAGAACTTATTTCAATGGCTGAAAGATACAAGCAGTTTCAGTTGAAAAAAGAAATGGAAAAAGATACGGGGAGGTCTCGTGGGAGATCTCGAAGAGGTTTTTAATCCAAACATGAACACAGTGAGTGCCTACTGAAATGTTAGCAATAATTTTAAGTAGAATATAGTATTGCTCAAGCTTTATGCACACTTAAAACATAACTTTTTAAAATCTGTTATTGTCTTGAAATTGCACCATTTACAGGAATGTGCATTTCCAGATTTGAAAAATATGCTTATTAGAAAATTGAAACAATACTTTTTTATATAGCTGTCATGAGATATATAGCAGTCTTCTGAGCAAAGCCTGCTCTAAATATACGTAAGAGTAATCATACTGAAGTTGGTTGGTCTAGTCTGGGTCTGGCTAGTGCCTAGGGATTTTAAATCATGGAGCTCTATGGATATTAATAATAATAGGACTTCTTTGAAGTAGTTTGAGAATAATGGCCTTAATCTAACATGTAATGGGGTTTTATTGGCTTATGGTACATTGATTACATCTTCTCATCTTCAGGGAGGAAACCTTGTACATAAAGCAGTAATTGTCAACACTGAAGTTTTTGTCTGCTTATGAGTACCAACATCTTGATCAATGGAGTTCAGAAATACTGGAAATTATGCTGACTTGTAATTATTTTCAAATTGTATCTATTCACTGTAATGTATTCTAATGCAGTGCTGTAGTAAAGCAGGTGGATTATTTTGTTAAGTTTCAGTTTTGATACATTTTGGTTGAGAGTAATAACTTAATACTTAAGTTCATTCTTGTTTTGTAGCTTATAGTTTTGTTAGATGGAAGAACTGCACTTCATAGAATAATGTTGATAAAAGTTCTTATTTACAAGGAAAAGTAACAATGAGGCAAACAGATCTTCCCCTCTCCATCTTAAATTTAAAATTAGCCCGATTCTGTGGGTTTGTGTACTGCATCTTTTTTATTGGTAAGATGTAGTGTATTGACATATTTGCATGCCTAGCGAGTCCTGCCTGTAGATTAATAGTGGGTCTATAAATGGCAATGGTAGATTGCTGTAATTTTATGAGAACTTTATGCATTAACATTTTGCTTCCAGAATCTTCTCTTTACTTGCACAAAAGATTAGTTTTAAGAGAATAAAGGATTAGTGTTTTCATGGATCTGTAGTTGTTATGTTTATACTTGCTAAATAAAAGCTTTTTAAACATGTATCATTTTCATATAGCATGTTCCAGAACTTGCCAAACGGTATTAATCTGCCTTGCTATAAAGTTGTGAGTCAAACATTGTATCAAAATTTGTTTCAATTACTAAAGCACTTACCTTCATGTGCTGTGTGAGGATTATTCAGTTTCTAGTCTCTAGTTTTGTTGCACTTGAATATAATTTTCTAGTATGAACAAGAAATAGAAGCAGAGATTGGGATTAGCCATTTCCTATTTATATATCAAATAGATCCTGGGGAATTCTGTGCAACAAAATATGGTCTACATTTAGCAATACTGTTGTATACCTGTGCACATAAAAAAGCTGGTCATTTGCAGGAGGGCAAACACACATACTCCAAAAGTGCCCCTAATTAAACATTCTCTTTCTCCCCCATAATTGCATGTAACTTGCTCCCACAGGAAGATATGCACCCAGCTGGGGAAATGTCCCATTGTCCTTGCCAAATCAGTTCTCGATGCATGTGCACTTTCTCAAATGTTCCTACAGTATAAAGGAAACATGCAAATAAAATACGAAGCTTTCCTTTCCAAATGTTTAACAGTGGCAGGGAAGTGATTTGACGCCTGCCTGGAAATGTTTTGAAAGAGCAAGCCATAACCGGCATTGTAAATTGTTGATTTGTACTTGCATCAAAGTACTGAGTGCAAAACACATAATGAAAAGCGGTCTTTATATTGTGGTGTTAGAAACTATACACACTATCTCTACTTACTCAAAGAAAGTTGAAAGTGAGGTACTAGATCACAGAACTTTCTTTTTCCTCAGCCCACTTCCTAACTATGCAAGAGCCTATGTATTGCTGCTACTAGCAATTGACTTTATCATGAGACTCTGGCCCTTAAAAGCAGTGAGAGAGCATAGCAGTTTTCTTAGAAACCAAGTTTACCACTGGAGCCAGGAATTTATGGCATATGACAATATCTCACTACCAGTGGCTATTGTACCCCCATGAGGTAACGTCATAGCTGCTGGCCACTAACTTTAAAACCCACATAAGTCTCAAGTTTCCTACTCTCCATGGGGTTATGTTCACAGCACCTACTGGGCCTTCTCAAAAGGGTATGTGCATGTGAGCTTGCTTGTGAGAGGACAGCAAACACTGTCCAACCTTTTTCTTGCCTGCCAGCTACCAGCGATAGCCTAAGCTATGCATGGGGTGCAGTAAGTTGTCCCATGCCTATCTCCACTTGGCTCCAGAAAGTAACACTGAGAGAATGGGCTTCAGCCCCATTGTAGTTATGCTGAGAATTCCTCAGGGCAGTTTTATCCCCCATACCATTCAACAGTTATATTAAGCCATTGGGGGAGCAGCCATAAGGGGAATTGGAGCATTATGTCATCAGTATGCTGACACCCAACCCTCTTTCTCCATATCAGTCAGATGTGGCCCTACAGTAGCTGGACTGGTGTGTGTGCGCAATGGTTGGCTGGAAGAAGGCCAACTTGAATCCTGGTAGGACTGAGGCTGTGGGTGAGTGGTTTTCCAGATCAGGGAAATATGTCAGTTGCCCTCTTCTGAACGTGATTGCACTCCCTCTAAAACAGCAGGTACATTGCTTCGGAGTACATCTAACTTTGTCACCAGAGGCCAAAGTGACTTCACTAGCTAGGACACCTGTCAATTAAGGATGGTGTGAAAGCTACAATATTTCAGGCAATGTCAACTTCCAGATTGCGGTAACCCAGTACGCTGTATCTGCTGCAATTAGTGCAGAATACTTTAGCAAGGCTGCCGCAGGTGGTGCCCAACTGACAGTGTGAAACACCTGTGCTGAATTGCACTGGCTGCTTAAATACTACCAAGACAGGTTTAAGGTTTTGCTATTGGTATACAAGGCCTTGAACAACCCAGGATCATGATAACCTTGCAAAAGTCTTTGCCCTGTCTGGTCAATTCTTGGAGAAATTCTTTACCTTGCATACTTGTTGCCGGTCACTTGGTCTTACATCCACTAAAACCAGGAGTTTTGGTGTGGCGGCAGTGGTTCTCTGGATTGTACTTCCAATGTTTATCAGGTAGATACCTATAGTGCAGGCACGTCCAACAGGTAGATCACTGAACGTCTGTGGTAGATCACTGGTAGATCACATTTTTGCCCTGCACCCCCCAAAAATGGGCTTTCCTCCTCCCTAAAGAAAGCTCAACAACTGACCTGAACCCCCAAAAAGGTAAGGGGGTAGATCACTGCCAGTTTTTAACTCTGAGTAGATCACAGTCTTTTGGGAGTTGGCCACCCCTGCTATAGTACTAAGGCACAAGTGTAAAACTCACATATTCAACAAATAATTACTGGAAGGGTGATCAAACTGTTGATGAATTAATCTGATTTGGTTTTGGTGTATTTGAGTTACTAAGTCTGATTTATGCTTTGGCAAGAAGGTGGTCACTTTGCGGGAGGGGCAACTCACAATTATCAAGTGTTTTCTGCCTTTCAAGCAAGTAGAAGCATAATGATATCCCACTTTGTGATGTCCTTGTAATCCTTTCAGGTGAGTACCCATAGTGTCTTTCAATTTCATTCATAATTCTTTGCATGAATTCAAGTACTGTAGCTCTTTATTTTAAAGTTACAGGGAAAATATAGGAAACATAGTGTTTTGCTCACTTTCAATTACTTTTGCAAGTGCATTACATTTTGTCTTTTCAACTGTCTGAAGCAAGTTGAACTCAGGTATAAAAAAGTGTTTTAACTCGGCCGCTCTGAGACAACCCACGAAATAATCCAGTAGTCTGTTGAAACATTCGTGAAGATTTGCTGCAAGCCATTCATCATCACGGGACCACTTGGTACATGCATGAAGAAAGGCAGTTTTGGCTAAGTAAGAGTGGAATTTTTCAAACTGATTTCTGTTTTCATGTTTTGTTTTAAGCTGCTCCAGCAAATACTTCAGAAGCTTAAGACAATCTTTCCTGTTGGGAAATAATAAAAAACACTGTGAAATATGTTATTCTGAAACACACATCCTACTAGGAACAATTGATTTAACAGGGATATTTGCTATACACAGACCTGCTTGGGACAGGTTGTGCTATTAGATGGACTGTGTTGGACTTTTAGATAGCATAGCTTAACCTTTGCCACAAGTAACTTGGATGTGCTTTCATCTTCAGTTCCATAAATGCTTCTAGAAATTGCCTTCCTCACATCATCAAGTTTTAAATATATACATTTCATTTCTCACCACTGCCATGCCCTCTAGTTAAGTGCTGACTCTGAGCTAGAGGGGATGGCAGTGGTGAGAGATGAAAAAGAAGAAAAGGAGATAGTTATTTTGGCTATGTAAGGATCAACATTCAGAAAATAATTTCCTATTACTATATAGCACTGAATCTTTAAAAGGTGGGATAGGACCCAATAGTAGGCTGCAACATGAGCACTACCATCATGGAAATACATGACAGAAGATGAAGGAATGGGTTAAAAGTGGTTCCTGATTGTGAGGAGATCGGAGAATTTTTAAACTATAACAATCTTCCAGCAATTCCAAGTGAAATAATTAAACATCTTAATGCACCAATTACAGCCATGGAAATTCAACAAGCAATCAAGAATGTGAAACCAGGGAAGTCACTGGGTCCAGATGGACTGTCAGCGTGCTATTATAAGAAGCCGAAAGAAGCCCTATCACGACCTTTACAAGAGGTAATGAACTATATACTAGCCAAAGGAGTAACACCAGAGAAATGGAAGTGTCAGGGAAGAGTTTCCAGTTTCTCAAAGGGAGAAAGCATTCGCCAAGGGGGGAAGGAGAGCAGTGAATATAACAGAAGAGAGCAAGAGGAACAACAGGGAGGGACTGGCTGTTCACAGGAAAGGCAAGGGTTAAGTTCTAGTTCAGATTCGGAGGAGGGGAGATACAGGCCAGCTCTAGCCAGGAGGTTAGAAAAAAGAGCGGGAAAGCAAAGGGAAGGGCGCCTTCGCCATTTTGAGAGTGGCTGGTCATGGAGAAGCAGAGCTCAGAAGGTATCTGAAATAAGTGACTCTGAGGAATAAGTTAAGAACTGTTTATAAGATTGTTTTGTTAATACGCAATAAAAAGTTTTATAAAAAAACAAGAAGCGTTTGTGTGGTGATCTGAAGAGGACAACGACCAGTCCTGACAGGAAGGAAGCATTTGTTACATTAATTCCCAAACGGGACAGACCTAACACTTATTTCAAGCTACAGACCAATCTTATTACTCAACAATGACTATCTTGCACACATCCTGTCAGAGAGATTAAAAAAGACTCTGGGAGAAATAATCCATGAAGACCAGGCGGGCTTTCTCCCTGGACAACAAATGAATAGTAATATAAGAAATATTATTAATATACTGGGGTACCTAGCAATCAGAAATGACAAACCAGCAGCTCTCATGCTAGTAGACACAAAGAAGGAGTTTGATAATATCTCATGGAGCTTTATGAAAACACAAATTAACCTAATGGGATTTGGAGATATCTTCTGCAGAGGAACAGAGGCAATCTATACGGAGGAGAGCGCAAAACTCATAAATAGCAACATCACAGATAGCTGTAACATAAGAAAGGGGACAAGGCAAGGATGCCCCCTCCCCCCATTGCTATTTTAGTACTGGAAATCCTGAACAAGAAGATAAGAGAAGGTGAGAAGATAAGAGGTGTAGTAATAGGAGGGAAATCTTACAAACTAAAAGTTTTAACTACAGAGAACCCAAAAGAAAACTTCTTAAGAACATTAGAATTGATAAATGAATTTGGAGAGGTGGCAGGCTTCAAGCAAAAATAAATAAATTACTAGTTAAAAATATGGAGGTTCAGGAAAAAAAGCGAGATTTGTGGCTTGGAAACCAGTAAAAAAGTTAAATATCTGGGTATATGGCTCACAGCAAAGAACATCAATTTATTTCAAGATAATTATGTCAGTACCTAGAAGGAGATAAAAAACAATTTGGAAATTTGGCGTAGGCTAAATATTTCCTTTTAGAGAAGAATTTCTATGATAAAAATGAGTATGCTTCCAAAAATGATCTTTTTGTTTCAAACTATCCGGGTGATAGGAACAGTGAGCTGCTTCAAAGACTGGCTGCTTCAAAGATTTACTTGGAATGTCAAAAACCCCAGGATTAAGCACCAATTATTAATCAACATAAAGGAGAGGGGAGGTTTTGCACTACCATATCTGAAACTAACATGAAGTACCGTAGCTTGCCTTTCCTGGATCCGGGAGTGGTTGACACTGCAAACCACGGATTTGCTGGATCTAGAGGGATTTGACAATAGATACAGCTGGCATGCTTATTTGGGTTATGAGAAGGTCAAAGTACATAAAAGCTTCTTAAACCATGTGGTTAGGAAATCTCTATATACAGTGAAGGCCAAATATAAGGCCTTACTAGAACCCAAAATGCCTTGGTGGCTGTCCCCGACAGAGGCATTCTTGGTTAAAAAGAAAAATATGAGAGGTAATTGGGCAACCTATAAAGAATTGCTGGAAGAAAAAAAAATAAGTTAAAACTCAAAAAATTCTAAGAATCCGAAACCACCTAACAGACTGGATGCAATATTTTCAACTGAATGACACTTTCCAAAAGGACAAAAAATTGGGTGTTTCCACAGATCCTTTGAGACTCCAAAAAGATCTGATCCAAACTAAATACAAACCACTCTCTAAAATGTATAGGTTCCTCCTTGACTGGGAGGTCAAGGAGGAGGAAGTAAAATCAGTAATGGTACAGTGAGCTAGGGATTTTGGTTATAACATCTAAACGGAATCATGGAAGAAGCTATGGAGGGAAGATATAAAATTCACTGCGTGTTATAATCTAAAAGAGAACTGCATGAAAATGCTCAAATCTAGGTCAAACACGTGTTGGAAATGCAGGGAGGCGGAAGGCACAATGATCAACATGTGGTGGAACTGCAAAAAAAATCAGAGACTTCTGGGAGATAATATACAACAAACTTAAGAAAATGTTTAAATGTTCCCTCCTCAAAAAGCCTTAAGCCTTCGCTAGGAATAAGCAATGAAATCCCAAAGAAATTTAAGAGAATTTTCATGTATGCAGCAACAGCAGCTAGAATTTTAATTGCAAAGGGCTGGAAAAGAGATGCTATCCCATCAAAACTAGATTGGCAGAACAAAATGCGAGAATGTGCAGAACTAAATAGATTATCAGCAAAATTCCGAGATGTCACTGACCAAAAATTTAATAGGATGTATATAGAGTCTATCCTAGTTGAAGAATGTAACTTGGGAATCTCAGTGGGGAGACTGGAGGTCATGATCACAAAATGTCACCTACAATAAGAATTAAGCATGGAATGAATGTTTTATTTCCTTTCTTTCTGTTGATTGCTTTGTGCCGTATTGTTTTTAAAATCAATAAAAAGTTTTTAAAAAGGGAAAGGGGAAAAAGTGGGTCCTGATTGAAGATACTTGCTATATATAGGTTTAAACCATGGTTTCCTGGCTTAGATGCAACAGAAAAGTGTTATTTCCCAAACTCAAAAGTTTTGCACAGGCACAATGCTCACTCTCTGTACAATAAATCATAGTTTATTAGTCTAACATAATTACCTCAGAGTCAGTGAATGCCAGCTGATTTAAGTGCACATTCTTTAATATAGGCTCTTGTTAGTCACCAACAATAGCTGGGAGATTAACAGAGCAATCCAAACTCCCTTTGTGCTGAAGGAATAGAAATGAGGTGTAGGTGTCTCTCTGCCCATCCTAACAACCTCAATAGCTTCTTGGCAACCTCCACTTGTGGAGTGACACACTGTCACTCTGTTGGCACCAAGGTCTCCCTTCTGCATACAGTGGTGCCCCGCAAGACGAATGCCTCGCAAGATGAAAAACCCGCTAGACGAAAGGGTTTTCCGTTTTTCGATGCGCTTCGCAGGACGAATTTCCCTATGGGCTTGCTTCGCAAGACGAAAATGTCTTGCGAGTCTTGAGATTTTTTTTGCTTCCCCCCCCCTTTTTCTAAGCCGCTAATAGCCTTTTAGCCGCTAAGCCGCTAAGCCTTTAATAGCCGCTAAGCCGCTAATAGCGCTAAGCCGCTAATAGGGTTGCTTCGCAAGACAAAAAAACCGCTAGACGAAGAGACTCGCGGAACGGATTAATTTCGTCTTGCGAGGCACCACTGTATGTGGTTGGAAGTGCCACTGGTTACAAGCCCCAAATTGGGATTTTCCACATCTGTTTTATTATTTTTCCTCTTAAGAAAATGGCAGTTAGTCAATCACTAGACCAGGGGTCGGCAAACTTTTTCAGCAGGGGGCCGGTCCACTGTCCCTCAGACCTTGTGGCGGGCCGGACTATATGGAGGGGGGATGAACAAATTCCTATGCACACTGCATTTTAAATAAAAGAACACAGCATGCAAGACCAGGCAGGCCCCACAAGTAACCCAGAGATGCATTTTAAATAAAAGGACACATTCTACTCAGGTAAGCCACCAACTCCCCACGACTCTCCCCTCCCTTCTCCACAGCACTGGAAGAGTCCCGGTGACTGCTTACCTGTGCCTTGCAAGTGGCAGGGGCTGGCGGCGGAGGGAAGATGAGCAGCACACGAAAGGGCTCTGGAGAGGGGCTGCTTTAAATGATGGCTGCTCAAGCGCTCACATGGCTGCTCCTGGCACCAATGAAGCCCTTCCCCTTCCTCTCAGCTCTAGGCAGGGCAGGGAGAAGCCGGGAGGAGGCACCACCACGTGAGGGGGGGATGGCACAGGCTGAACGATCAGCGGCAATTCCCGGGCCGTCTGCGGCCAGATCCAGAAGGCAATTGGGCCAGATACGGCCCTGGGGCCGTAGTTTGCCGACCCATGTGTTAGACAGTTGTCACAGCACAGGGAGTTTTACCATATTCAATCATTCTTGATTTGAGCCTATGAAGATTCAGAATTTTGGCACTACATCCATTTTATACCTCGTTTAAATGATAGTTTGGCAGTACATTTAGTTGAGAGTTGTAGCCAATAAATCCTTACAATTTCCCAGTTTCTTAAGCATTTTCTAGACTTATATAGTGGCTAAAACTGACAAAACAAATAGGAAAACAGTAGTTAAAGATACTAACCTGCAGCATTTTTGTCCATTTTTTTCACAACAGGTCTTTGAGTTGCCATGATTAGTCATTATAGCCTTCTCAATATGTGAAAAAGAGAGTCGCCAAGTGTTTTCTAAGGTGTTTTTTTTTAAAAAAGAAACAATGTAAAATATTGGAAATCTCTCTTTAAAGAACATGTTGATTGAGCTATTTTTTAACTGTTTATTAGTGACAGATTTTGTGACCCTTTTAGCTACTATATGAACACTGAAACTCATAAGCAAAAACTTTCAGCTGTGGAAATGCACTACTTTTGCCCTTGTGCTGGCTCTGGCCTAAATCCTGCCACTGTGCATAGATATGCTGAGCAAAATCCAAGTCAAGTGGTATCTTAGCCTTGGAAAAAGGAATACAACCCAGTTCTTCACTTTTCTGCTTGTATAGGAAGTTTAGCTACCATGAAGCAGAGAGCTTATCCCACTGTTGTTCAATTGTGCCTTTAGGATTGGTCTGCTGACTCTTGCCCAGCTTTAATATTCTTTTAAAGGAGGAGTCTATTTTCTTAAGAAATAACAGAACAGGGACCCTGGAACTTCATAACATTTGTTGTTATTTACAGCACATAGAAAGAATAACCAATTAATGTAGGCCCTTGAAAATAGTCTACCACCACACAACAGCTAGAATACCTGATACAGTGACATGACTTTGTGCATTATGTATTTAGCCAAAGAAAAGCTTTAGTACCTATTAAGCACTTTCCATCTTTGGCAATCTTGGGCACGAGGTAGAGTGGTTCATTTAAAAAGGCATTCTTTACTTTTCTTCCTAGCCATCCTGTAATATCCAGGCCATTCCTTGTACTTTCACACCAGGCCCGGCGCCGAAATTCCAAAGCAAGAATGATATCTACTGATATAACGGAGGGAGGCTTTCCAATGAGAAGGGTTACTGCTGGGCATCCCGGCTTCTTTCTCTCTACATGCACTTCCACATCCAGATCTGTTGACAGCAACAGCAACAATCCAATCCAAACCAATTTCATTGTGTTTCATTAAGATTTCCCCACCTCACAATGATTTGAACAGGAAGTTAAGAATATGTACTTAAAACAATATAGCCAAGTAAGCAGCATCAACTTCAGTTATGGCACTTAATGCCAGCAGCTAACACAGACCTTGGGGGGAAAAATGTGGTAGTGGCACTACAGTTCTGCTATTCTTACTCTGCGACAAAAAACTAAATTCCAGTTTAAACACTATGTGGTGAACAAGAATATAACACAATTATTAAGGAAGCTGTAGGCTGGATTCAACTAACAGGCCTGGCTAGTGGAAGCCTGCCCAAGGATTTCTGCCAGTGCAACAGGCCTTGTCTGCTTTCAGCTCCCCAAGTACCCCCTCCAAATAGGCTCAGAGGTGGGTTGAAGAACTTCCAGAACAGGGAGGAGAGGGGAGATAGCTCCATTGGGCGAGCCGATATGCTTGTGCTCCTAGAACATTTGGGAAAGGGTGATGTTGAATTCTTTGCAGTATATTTTGGGTTATCTCTTAAAATATACAATATTTAATGTTTCCCAATAAAAATAATATCCAATTTGTATAGTAAATGTTTACAATGCAAAGTCAATTTTATATTGACATTCTTCTAACCAAATATTTCAGTTCAACTAACTTTTTGTTATGGCAAAAATGGCAGGTGTTCAGCATTTAAAATTAACATGACTAGTTACTTTCTGCTTATCAAACTAATGTTTCTATTAAACTAGATGTTTAACTAACTTTCTGCTTATCAAACTAATCTTATCTTCCATTTCAAGCAGCTGAGTTTTTCAATTCCATTGCAGAAATCCTACATTACTACAGTGGTGCCTCGCAAGACGAAATTAATCCGTTCCGCGAGTCTCTTCGTCTTGTGGTTTTTTCGTCTTGCAAAGCACGGCTATTAGCGGCTTAGCGGCTATTAACGGCTTAGCGGAAACGAACTCGCAAGACGTTTCATCTTGCGAAGCAAGCCCATAGGGAAATTCGTCTTACGAAGCAGCTCAAAAAACGCCAAACCCTTTCGTCTAACGAGTTTTTCATCTTGCGAGGCATTCGTCTTGCGGGGCACCACTGTATTTCTAATTGGACCTATAAATTTCAGTGGGACTAGAGAGCATTCATCTGTTTGCACACAGTATTTAAGGAGGGTTGCTTATCTCTGAAGAGGAAGGAAAAAAATTAATGTAATGAATACTTACCCCTTTTTTTTTTTACTTCTTCTACAATAATGTTCCTCAGTGCTGACAGCATATCAGAAGATGAAAGATGCATTTTGTCATCTAAAAATTTAGCTAGATATGCCTTTTCTCCAGGGTTCCTTTTCAATTTTACATAGAAGAAAGCACCAGAAGCAGGAACATTGCAGGATTCTAGTTCAACTCTCATATCTGGTACTTTGAGCATAATATCAAATTCATTTGGGTTAGAAATCTGCAAGACAGACAAAAACATTTCTCACAATTTACTATGTCCCAGAATGTGTTAATAACTTGTGTTCTCATGACTCCAGACTAAAGGTCATCCTTACAGCCCTCTGGAGACAACCACTGAAAAGTGCTTCTGCGCAGTCATGTCATTTGAAATACCCTTGCTAGGTGCATAATAGTGATCAAAACCCACACACATTTGCTTACACCCACACAGGCTGGCAACCTCAATGGCACCCCTCTGGAGGCTTCATCTGGGGCAAAAATGCTTTTCCCCACCCCATAGCTACAACGAGAGGTCTTTCTTTTGCCCCATGCTTTCCCTGGGAAAACCCGCTGTTTACTCAACAGGAGGGCAAGAATGCTGACATCACCCCCAAATCTCAGCATCCATAACTACAGTGTTTTTAAGGTTTGTGATCCGGCAGCTTTTGGACCGGTGCAAGGAAAGAAGCCCGAGCAGATGCCCCGAGCAGTCTCCAGCATTGCATCTTCCTTCTATTACCTTCAGGTGTTCGTAGTAACTGCCGGTGCCCAGCACTTCGACGCAGGAGAAGCAGGCTTCCCTCTTTATTGCTTTTACCAGGATGTCCCTGACCATGTTAACCAGCTGCGCGGCCTTGGAGCGCTCCTCTTTAGCTAGCCTGAGCTTTTCCAGCACCTGCCTCAAGCTGCGGTTGCCCCTTGGGCCAGGCTCCTTGGGAAGCAGCGTCCCTCGGCCGCCGGCCTCCTTCCCCGCCTTCTCCTGCTCTGTCTTTCGGGAATCTCTCCTCCCTGCGGAGGCGCTTTCTTTGCCTGGCTGGCCGACTTCCTCCTCCTCTTTGGGGAGAGGCTTCGCCTTCTGGGAAGCGACCAGCTTGTTGGGGGCAACTACTGCGCTTCCTCGCGGGGCAGGCTCTAGTTTTACCAGAGCACACATAGCCTGCTCGGCTTCCCGCGCCTTTTGCGCGCCTTTTTCCTTCCGGGAAGCTTTCTTCCCACTCGGGGCAGCAGCGCCGTTTGCTGCCTCGGCTTTGGGCCGTTCCTCTGCCGAGATGGTGCACATTCCCAGCGCCTGCGTCAGGCTTGGGATGTCGTTCGCGCCAGGCTCCTCGGGAGCAAATGTGCTCTTCAGTTTCCTCCGGGCCCCCCCTACGGCTTTCCCCTGATCCGGCGGCTCCTTCTGGGAGCCTTTCTTCCCACTCGGGGCAGCAGCGCCGTTTGCTGCCTCGGCTTTGGGCCGTTCCTCTGCCGAGATGGTGCACACTGCCAGCGCCTGTATCAGGCTTGGGATGTCGTTCGCGCCAGGCTCCTCGGGAGCAAATGTGCTCTCCAGTTTCCTCCGGGCCCCCCCTACGGCTTTCCCTTGATCCGGCGGCTCCTTCTGGGAGCCTTTCTTCCCACTTTGGGCAGCCGCGCCGTTGGCTGCCTGCAGGGGTTCCTCGGCGTCGGCGCGCTCCCCTGCACCGAGCGCGAGCTTTTCCAGCGCCTGCCACAAGCCAGGCTCCTCGGGAGCAAGTTTGCTCTTAGCTTGGTCCGGCTCCTTCTTCTTCTGGGACGTTTTCCTCCCACTTGAGGCAGCAACTCCTTTCCCCGCCTGCTGCGATGCCCGGTCTCCCTCGTCGCCCCGTCTGCCCTTCCCTCGCCCTTTGGATCCCGCAGTGCCTCCGTCCCCTTTCGCTGCCGGGGCCGCCTCGCCCTTCCTCGCGCCTCTCCCGGCTCCACCGCGCCCCATGGCGCCAGAAAAAGATGTCCTCGCTGCGGAGCTCAGCGTCTCCTGTGTCGGCGCCCCGCGCCCGCCCCGCCGCATATGAACCCGCTAGCCACGTGAACGGCCGCATCCTGAAGGAGAAACGAAACTTATCTGCTGCGGGAAGCGTGTCTGAACCAGCTTGCTCCCTCCCTCCCCGTCTTCCTTATTTTGGGTTGCCCAGTCAAGTCAGGGATGGAGCAAGTCCCCTTTGAGGAAGTACGAGGGCAGTTAGAGAAAAGGCGAGCGAGACGCGGCATGAGAGAAGTTTATACAGTAGAAGTATGCGAGGCATGGAGACAGTGGCTAGAGGAAAGTCCCCGCTGCAGCCTCCCTCATAGCATTAGAGCTGGAAGGCATTCAATGAAGTTGAAGGTGGGGACATTCAAAGCAGGCAAAACAAAGGACATCTCCATGCAAGGCACAGCTAAACTATGGAATTCCTTCCCCCAGGAACCAGTGAAGGCCACCAACCTAAGTAGCTTTAAAAGAGGAATAGGCAAAGGGCCCATCCACATTTTCATTTGCAGTAAACAGCAGGTTTTCTTGGTGAAAGCTGTGGGACAAAAAAAAGCCCCTTGATCCTGTGGCCAGAAATCATGGCACAAAGGAAAGTGTGGATGGGCGCAGCCAGGGTTTTTGTTAGGGGAGGCAGGCTTTTGTTGGAGGGGGCAGAACCTCATGTTTGTATTGATCTAGGGGGGATAGCTGCCCCCCTGGGCTATGCCCATGGATGGGCAGAAATTCATGGAATAGCAGGCTACTGATGGCTACTAGCCACTATCAGACTTGATGCTTCTGAATACCAGAGGCTGGAAACAAAAGGATGGGAGAGAGCACAGGAACTATTTTTTTATATATATATCGGGTGGCACTGTGGGTTAAACCACTTGCCAATCAGAAAGTCAGCGGTTCGAATCCCCACAACGGGGTGAGCTACCGTTGCTCGGTCCCTGCTCCTGCCAACCTAGCAGTTCGAAAGCATGTCAAAGTGCAAGTAGATAAATAGGTACCGCTCCGGTGGGAAGGTAAACGGCGTTTACGTGCACTACTCTGGTTCGCCAGAAGTGGCTTAGTCATGCTGGCCACATGACCTGGAAGCTGTACGCCGGCTCCCTCAGCCAATAAAGCGAGATGAGCGCCGCAACCCCAGAGTCAGTCATGACTGGACCTAGTGGTCAGGGGTCCCCTTTACCTTTACCTTTACCTTACAGTATTAGCTTAGGTCTACCCATATCTCCCTGACTGGGTAACTGTTCCCCTCAGGATCCAAAATAATCTCTGATCAAAACTGTTTTGCACAATTAAAGATAGAGAACTTTGACCTGCAGTCCACAACAAGCTTTGAGATGAGATAATTGAACTGATCTGGCCTAACGCTTGTTGCAGAATATTTAACCAAGATGCTAATAGCCAAAATATGTAGGAAGCAGTGGCAGCTGCTCCCCATTGGAACTGGTGGGGCAGAAAGCCAAGTGTCTTGTGTCCAAAGCAAGCTAAGGCCAGATCCTCTTTTCCTCTATGCATTTTGGCTAGTCTTACTTTTCTAGAAAAAGGTGCTGGAATCCAACATGAACACCTCCCTTGTTCTCTTAGATTGGCAATGGTATCCACCAGAGGTGTGCTGGAACTGAGTTCCAACAAGTTCTGGCTGGGGGAAACACTCTGAATTTTTGGCTGCTATTGACATAGATACATACCCTTGATGGTGTCTTGCATTCAGAGAGCTGGACCAAATGCAATTCAGGCCCATCTCATAGAGGGCACTTTCCCAGAGGTGTGGGTATTATCATTTGGGGTGACCCAAATTGTACTGTGGGTTGCACACACCCAGTTCCTTTTTCTGTAATTGTCCTCTGGAGATAATGTACATTCATGAATGGCCCACAAAAACAAAAGGTTTTGATTGTTTAAACTGCTGCTCTTGAAGGAAGAATCTCCACCCAGATTATGGAGACATATGAGATGAGACCATTTTGGGTTTAGGGGCATGTGGGGTTCTTTTTAAGATTTATGACTTAGGTGTGTTTCTAGCTTTTGTGCAAATAAGGATCTGGGAACTAGTAATCAACTTTAGCTTGTTGTGCCAGCAACAGTGAGGTAATCTAGACTCGCAGCAATAGTTCATGCTTGAATTTGCCCACTGTCAAACTTAGATTTCAAAAGAAAAGAAATCAAGTTTATTTTCCCTGACACGGATTCTTCTCCAATGACAGCATGGGGCTGGGTTAAAAATAATTTGGTTTGCACAATTTATCTCATCCTTTTACTCAACAGAAAACCTGCTCATGTGATTTTTTTTTTGTACTAAAAGCAACAACACTGGTATTACCACTCTTACTTGTCTAGTCATGGCATGCAGGTGGCACTTTTCTCATAAATGAATCCACTTGCTGGGAAACGCTCTGATTACTGAATGTTGAACCAGGTGCGTAAAAGCATTTCTGTACTTTTCAATTTGCTTTGAACAGGAACAATGAACAACTTCAACAAGAAGCTTCCCATTTTTATATTGCTGCATAGAGAAAAATCTGCACATGGGGAATTCCTGCCTATCACACAGGTACTGGATAGGAAAAAAGATGACAGCACATTTCCTTCCTGTTTCTGATGTATGTGTGCAGGAAAGAGAGGACAATAGCGTTGTTGTTTTTCTAGTACAGTACAGGAAATAAGAGCACATCACTATTGTATGGATGAGCGACGCAACCCCGTGGTCGGCCACGACTGGACCTAATGGTCAGGGGTCCCTTTACCTTTTATGTCTATACATACTTGGTCCTTCACCCATATCTTATCCCTACAAGTTGGAAAGTGGGTAGAGGCAGTTTTTAGTGGATAGGCAGATGGCAGAGAAAGAGCTAAGTAACCCTTTCCCTCTTCCTCTGCACCTAGATTTTAGCCTATCAGGAACTTTTCCTATGATGAAACAGAAACACTTAATGAGACCTAAAGTAGTTTGTTCCATAGTGGGGAAGGAGCATGTGCAGCAGTTTCCCTTGCAGAGATGACCATGGTCACACCCACATCATAGATTTAAGTTGCATGGCTTCCTGCAAAAAAATCCCAGGAATTAATTAACAGTGCTGAGAATTGTGGCTCTGTGGAAGGCAAACTACACTTCCCATAATTCTTTGGAGGAAGCCATGTGCTTTAGATGAGAACGTGACCCACGCTGACAGTTTTTGCTGGCTACTTGCAGCAGCTCACCCGTTGGATAAAGCTTTCCTACAATTCAATGTTTTGACGTCTGATTTTACAGGGATGGAATATGCATGCGTTTAAATGCGCTTGCCACTTCTGGCAGAGTTCCTATGACTCGTAGCTGCATGTTGGACTGAGAGTCCCCAATACAGTAATAGCTTTTGCATCAGGGTGTCACGGTGACAGGAGAAAAACTTGCAGCCCACAGCTGCATGTACCTGCCTCCACTGTGGCACACCATCAAGGAGCATCCAAAGATGCCGACAGCTGCATCAGTTTATACACACATCAAAGAGCAACAGGAAGCGCTGCAATCCTGAAAAGAAAATTAAAGTTGCTATGTTCTTGCCCCCCGGGAAACCCTGCTTTAAAAAACAAAACCATAAACAGATGCATGCCGCCCTCTCCGCCAGCAACAGCCTGCCGCTCGGTGAGCGAAGAAGACCTCTTCACGAGCGCACTTTCAGCGTCGTATTTTGAATAAAAGGCCGGCAGCGAACGGCGCGCACCCTTCGAGGGAGCCACCCACCGCTAATCCTGCCGGTCGGACCTTCCCGTCCAGTTACAGGCGCGCATGCGGGAAGCGCCCCGACCCTTGCGCAGCGGGTGGAGCCGGCCGCCTCGACGTCACGGGCCAAGATGGCGGCGCCCTTTCGCGGCGCGGAGTAGCCGGTGCGCGTCTCGCGCTCCTTCCCGCCGCCGCGCCGACCTGAAGGGGCTTCGGCGGGTCTTTCTGTCCGGCCTCGGGATGTTGCCTCTCAGGCGCGTCTGGCGCCGCCTCGCCGCTCCCCCGGACCCCGGGACGTGGCTGCGGTGCGCGAGGGGCGAGGTGATCTCGGCGGCCGCCGGCCCCTCCAGCGTTTCCAAGTACGACGTCGTCGTGATCGGCGGTGGCCACGCCGGCACTGAAGCGGCGGCGGCGGCGGCGAGGGTGGGAGCCCGCACCCTCCTCGTCACGCACAAGGTGGACACCATAGGTAAGCAGGGAGCTGGTTGGATTGCTCAGTGGGAGCCGGCAGGTGTGGGTACACAGGGCGCCCGCCGAGGGATGCAGGTTGCCAAAGTTTCTGCCAGGGCAGGTAGCAGAGTGGACCTCAGTAGGGTTCCTTCCCCTAACACTTGGAAAGCATGATGGTGGAGCTCGCAGGAGATGCAACAGCAGCAGGGCAGGGCTAGCAAGTACGTCCTCATTATCTCTCCATAATAGGTTACTTACGTGGGGAGGAAAACGCTAGAGCAACGACAAATCTAGACAGCATCTTCAAAAGCAGAACATCACCTTGCCGACAAAGGTCCATATAGTTAAAGCTATGGTTTCCCCAATAGTGATGTATGGGAGTGAGAGCTGGACCATAAAGAAGGCTGATCGCCAAAGAATTGATGCTTTTGAATTATGGTGCTGGAGGAGACTCTTGAGAGTCCCATGGACTGCAAGAAGATCAAACGTATCCATTCTTAAGGAAATCACCCTGAGTGCTCACTGGAAGGACAGATTGTGAAGCTGAGGCTCCAATACTTTGGCCACTTCACGAGAAGGGAAGACTCCCTGGAAAAGACCCTGATGTAGGGAAAGATGGAGGGCACAAGGAGAAGGGGACGACAGAGGATGAGATGGTTGGACAGTGTTCTCGAAGCTACCAGCATGAGTTTGACCAAACTGCGGGAGGCAGTGGAAGACAGGAGTGCCTGGCGTGCTCTGGTCCATGGGGTCACGAAGAGTCGGACACGACTAAACGACTAAACAACAACAAAGGGTTTGTTTATCAGGAGACATGAACTTTCCCCAACACCTGACATGGCAACATCACCTTTAATCCATTTGCTAAATGTTTATTTTATGAATGGAGCTACCAGAGAAACATAACAGCAGCAGTGTTGTTGGTTGATAAGATAATCATAAATGACAGTATACTTATTTCATTTTTTGCAAAATGAAATTGCCTCCCGTTTTTGGACATCCATATGTGATTGGATCTGTAGAACAGATTAATAAAAACAAATGCATTTTTAAAACAAATACAAAACCCTGACATTTTGATGTATATTGCATCTAGGATTGCTAGAATTAGAGAATTAGAAATAAGCAGAAGTAAGGCATCTTGGTTTTCTCTTAGAATTTTGGGCATGGGTCGGCAAACTAAGGCCCGGGGGCCGGATCCGGCCCAATTGCCTTCTGGATCCGGCCCGCGGATGGTCTGGGAATCGCCATGTCGATCGGCGTGGGATCCTGATCGTTCGGGCTGCGCCATTTCCCCCTCCACACACACACCGTGGCGCCGCCTCCCCCCTCCCTCCTCCTGGCTTCTCCCTGCCCTGCCTAGAGGAGGAAGGGGGCCGGGCTTTGTTGAGCCGTGGTTGGCTGAGCACCATTTTAAGCAGTCTCTCTGTGGAGACAGCCCTTTCGTGCTGCTCATCGTTCCGCCGCCAGCCCCTGCCGCTCGCAGGGCACAGGTAAGCAGTCACTGGGGCTCGTCCAGTGCTGTGGAGAAGGGAGGGGAGAGTCATGGGGGGGTAGATTCCCCCTCCAAAAAAAATATAGTCCAGCCCCCCACAAGGTCTGAGGGACAGTGGACTGACCCCCTGCGCAAAAGGTTTGCTGACCCCTGATTTTGGGTCTAGAGGGGTACAGTACTGCCATGAATTCTACTCATATTGATCCAGAGCGGATTCCAATGTATAGTTAGTAGAGTAAAAACTTAAACATATTGCAGGATTCCCCCAAAATAGACCAGAGGCAATTAATATTTTATCTAGCAGAGCTTTACTGCTACTGAAGGCAAATGAGCATAATGGTCACAAATCCAATACATTCAGAAATGGCACTGTCCATAGAAAATCCAGTTGCGACACTTAATTTAACCGCCAATAATTTCTAATAAGACTAAAACCTTAACACTAAGCATACTATACAGTCATACCTCAGGTTGAAGTAGTTTCGGGTTGAGCATTTTCAGGTTGTGCTCCACAGTGACCCGGAAGTAACGGAGCGCGTTACTTCCGGGTTTCGCCGCATGCACAGACACTCAAAATGACGTCATGCGCATGCGCGGAAGTCCCGAGACACAGGTTGCGTTCACTTCAGGATGCGAACGGGGCTCCGGAATGGATCCCATTCGCATCCAGAGGTACCACTGTATACAGAACACCACACCAGAAGGAAAGAGAGATAGAAAGTGAAACTTAGGCTCCTTCTGCCGGCATGACCTTGAGTGAAAGAGGAACCTTCTGCCTCTTGCTAGGCAGAATAGAAACTTGCATGTCAGCTAGAAACTTCCAGCTTGCATCAGCTTGTATTACACAGAGAAGCTTCCAGAAACCTCATGGGTCAATTAGAATGGGAAAGATCTTTACACATCAAATCAGTATTTTCTTCACCAAAAAATGCACCCTGACAAGTAGCTTGCCATTCATGTCAATTTGGAGCATAGGAAATGGGGTCGGGCTAAAAGCTGTGGTTTGCTTGTAGTTAGATGCCTTTCATTTGTTATGCTGTCCAGGGCAAATGTCATGTAACCCTTCCTTTGGTGGAATTGGAAAAGGACATCTGGTCAGGGAAGTGGACGCACTGGACGGGCTCTGCGCACGAATCTGCGATCAGTCGGGAGTGCATTACAAAGTGCTAAATAAATGCAAGGGACCGGCCGTCTGGGGTCTCCGAGCCCAGATTGACAGAGAGCTCTATAAAGAGAACATGCAGGTGAGAATATGGATAGGAAGAGAGGAGAGGAAGGCTTCTGAGGCAACCCTATGCATGCTTACCTATGGAACTCAGTGGGGTTTATTCAAGTATACATGTTTATGAGTGCACTGTCAGTTTGATGAAGGTAAACATGTGAATGGGTGTGTGTGTCAGATATAATAAAATGTACATTTCATTTACCATTAATATTGGGGAAATGACCAAAATGATTCCTAATCAGAGCATGGAATCTTGATTGACATTTGGTGGTGGTGGTGAGGGCGTTATCCAGTAATTTGGTTTGTTTTTAAAATGCACAAGTTACCTCTCACTCAACAAATTCCCAAAATGATTTACAAAACATTTAAATCCGAAAGTCTGATTGGAAAAGGCAACTTATTTCTGTCATGCTTAAATAACCTGGAATGTAAACTTAACTGGGCGGGGGGGAATGGCTCCTTATTCCAACAAACAAGTGTCATTGGATATACAGCAATGGAGACTCAAACGTAATATTGGGAAACTTAGAAGAAAATCCCTGCAAAACATAATCTACAATTGCATTTTACACCAGAGTTGTATTTAAAAAAACATGACTGTAAAATTATGGAGTGGATCCAGAAAAACATTGACAGGAGGTGAATTTCCTGCCCCACCTTCTTCCAGAAACTGCACCAACCACCCTGAAGTGGGGTGAATGATTTGGGTGGGAAAGGCAGTTACGGATTCCCAGCAGGTACCTCCAAATAAGGGTCTCCTGACTCTTAGGAAAGGCTTTTCAGAGGGCTACTGTGGGAGGAGAGGAAAGGGAGAAAGTTTCCTTCTGCCTTCCCCTTTCTGCTGGCTTTTCTCTACAACCAAGCCAATGTCTGTTTTTAAAATGTAAAACACCATGTTAATTCAGCATTCTCTGAATAAGACATTCTGTACTCACATAACAAGCACTTGGGTGGGACAACTTTGAAAAGTGCTGTATGAGAACATAAATGCTTGTGCAGTTTCAGTTCTTCTCTTTTTGGTAAAATCTCGTGAGGGAGGAAAAGGAGGTGCCCAGATCAGACTTCCATCCTTGATTTGGCAATGGTGGACTATATATGGCTTTTAGCCTTTTTAGTCTTCATTATTTGTGTTATTAGATATAATTCTCAAGCTGAATGTGGCTATTTAATGCATTTATTGTTTTCAAAAACTTAAACTTAATAATGCTAAAAACTAATTTAATAAACCAAAATATTCACTGCAACTATGTAAGACATTGGCTATGCCTTCTTTTACTTCAGGCAGGAAAGGGCCTCACTCTTGAATAGGGTTGGTCTGTCAAAGCTGTGGGTCTGGGGTCTTTATTTGACCCACAACCCTATTTTCCCTCCAAACAGTTCCCACCTGCCCCACAGCTGATATCATAGGTGGGGCAGGGAATGACAGAGCTGCGAAGGAGCAATCGAAAACCTTTAAGTGCACTCCCAGCTGTTCCTTAGCAAGCGAGGCTTGCAGTAAACTGGGGGAACCTAGGAACTCAGTAGCGCAGCCATGTTACTGGAGGTTCTCTCCTTTGCTTATGAGTCCTTAAAAGATCATGTGTGTGTGTGTAAATTCCTTTAACAGGGTTTTTTTCCCCTAGTAGAAAGAAATTCTCCAAACCCCACTTCTGACAGTTTGTGAAGCTTCTGTGGAAGATCTTCTACTGACAGACCCAGAATCGGATCATCCAGGCAAATGTTGCGTCAGTGGAGTCGTGTTGGGTCAGTATTCCGGCAAGCTGCATCCTGAAGCAGCAGTCTTCATCCATTTGTGTAGGGTCTGCTTTCCATGACAGCAGCTTGCAAAAACTACTTCCAGGTAAAAGGAGGAGGGAGACCTCACCTCTGCAGAGAACTCAAGTGGCACAAGAACCCAGTAGTTTTTTCTAGATGCTGCCTTGAAAAGCAGATCGGTTGGGAAATTAGCTAAGTTATTTACCTCATTTTTTTAAGCCCATGCAATGTGAGCCAGGGAATCTAACCCATCATTATTTCCAAAGAGTTGATTTATAACTGATCTTAATCTAGTCCTTAATGAACTAATAGCCACATTTGCAACTGTCACTTGCAATGCATATTGAATGGCCATTTTTGAACTTGTAAAAACATCAGGGCTTGGTGTTAAAAGCTGGCTGGATACTTAGGGTGTTTGATTGTAGCTTCACCATCTCAGAATAGCTGTATGAAACTACCCTGACACAAAAAATAGGATTTCCTAGTTCTAGTTACAGTAAATAAAGAACCGTGTAGGTCTGCCGTAGTTGAAACAAAATAAAAAAATCCTTCCAGTAGCACCTTAGAGACCAACTAAGTTTGTTATTGGTATGAGTTTTCGTGTGCATGTCTCTGAAGAAGTGTGCATGCACATGAAAGCTCATACCAAGAACAAACTTAGTTGGTCTCTAAGGTGCTACTGGAAGGATTTTCTAGGTTACAGATAGGCAGACTGGGCTACTGGAAATCCTGTAACGAAAACCTCTGACTCAGTAGGTTATCTAGCCTTTTCTAGGTCACAGTCATTCCACTGCAGAAAGTTATGCTGTTCTGGACTATGTAGTTTAGTTAGTATGAGGCACTTAGATGTTTACAATTCAGAAAACAACAGATAGAATAAGTAGGATGATCACGAGAGACTTGATTTTATACAGAGTATAAGCACATATCTCTCTCATTCTCTGTAATAACATGTGTGAAACTGAAGGATAAGCAGCTGTCTTTAAGTGGCAGCAACATAAACTTAGGGTTTTATGTAATATCAAACTGCAAAAAATAAATAAATGTTTTCTGTCGTTGAATAAGACTGTGCTGAACTTCAAACTTCCTTGTGTCCTGGAGGAAAAAGATACTCACTCTTTCCAAAATAGATTTTATCTTAAACAAATGCATGTTTCCATAAGGAGGAGTATAGAAAGAGGATGACGTCCTTCAGTTTGTTTAACGAAAGGAGCTTTAACAACTTTTCTATGCTCCTCCCGATGGAAATATGCAGAAGGGGACATATATACCCCTGCTTTAAGTCGTTTACAAACTGTCTTCTCTTGTATATTATTTACTACAAAGCTTGATGACTAAGCTCTTTAGCGATGAAACGTCAGATTACCAGAACGACGTCCAAGCACTGAACCACTAGTATATCACAAGTGGACTGTTTATTACTGTGTTTGCAATTGTTCAAGATAATATCTATTTTGGAAAGAGAAGAAATGAGCACTGAACTACTGATGCATTACAAGTGAGCTCTTTTATTTACTGAATTTACTATTGTTTAAGATAGAACCTCTTTGGGAAAGAAGCTACTTCTAATTAGGGCAGCAGCAGGTATTCTAAACTCCGCTCTGTTTCACTGCATGTTTTCCCCTCAGAAGACGGAAGGAGAGTGCATGCTGGGAGTGTTGTTCTAACCACGGGAACATTTCTGAGGGGCATGATCCTAATTGGACTGGAAATGTATCCTGCCGGGCGGATGGGAGACCAGCCCTCCGTCGGCCTTGCTCAGACTCTGGAGAAACTTGGATTTACCATAGGAAGGTTAAAGACTGGAACTCCACCCCGACTGGTGAAAGACTCCATTGACTTCAATGTCCTCGAGAGGCATCCCGCGGACAGCTCTCCTGTGCCGTTCAGCTTCCTTAGTGAATCTGTGTGGATTAAGGTGCGAAGGAGTCCTGAGGAAGTAATCAGCTGTTGAAGTTTATGAGGGAGAGTCTCTGTTTCTTTTCCTTAAAGTGACATGTATTACTCTGGCAGTGCTGTGGTTTTTAGCATGCAGGAGGAAATGACTGTGTCAGAAATTATCCCCGGTTACACAGATGGGGGTGCGCTCCTAAATCATCAACATATTTGTCTATTCCTGTTAAAAGCTGCTGAGAGTAATGCAAGGAGTTGATGGAAATCCTCCCCTAAATACTGGCACAGTCCGGTGACGATGTATACCGTCAAAATTGACAAGTTTTATTCCTGAAATATCAGCCCTCATACATACATAGAAGAACTGAGGGTAATTTTTAACCATCACACACACTGCTTCACCAGCGATCTTTGTCCCTGAAATATCTGCCCTGTCATTTTTGCAGGTCACTATTTTCTTCTTCAGTGGACATCTTATATTGGTCAAAAAGTTTCTAAATAATTTTTTTTAGTTATATACCTCTTTTCATTTTTAGATTTATAAATCTCAAAGCAGTTTGCAATATGCAGAAAACCATCAGAAACAGTTAGCACATCCTCACGGACTTACAGTTTGAGCTGCTACAGCCAAAAAAAGAACAAGTGACAGCGGTCAGGAAATTATTCAGGAAATTACAGTGGTACCTCGGGTTAAGAACTTAATTCATTCTGGGGGTCCGTTCTTAACCTGAAACTGTTCTTAACCTGAGGTACCACTTTAGCTAATGGGGCCGCCGCACAATTTCTGTTCTCATCCTGAAGCAAAGTTCTTAACCTGAGGTACTATTTCTGGGTTAGCAGAGTCTGTAACCTGAAGCGTCTGTAACCCGAGGTACCACTGTATTACTGAAATACAGTGTGAACCATTTTAGAATCATCACTGCCCTTTTAAAGGAGTCCATTCATAAATTGAGAGCAGTGGTACTGCTTACTTGAGGGCTCAAAGGTCCAAAGGATAAGTCGCTATCTAATAGGATAGCTCTAGGTTGGTGTGGAGATCTCGGTCACTGGACTTCACAAAAGGCTTTCTGTGTGACCTTTGATAAATCATTAAGCCTTCTGATCTCAAGCTTGCTTGCTTAGAAGTAAAATTGCTTTGATTTCTTCCCAGGAGATACATTCTAGATTGGGGCCTACTCGTGCTTCCATTTCTCCAATAGTATTATGGAGAAATTAGGGGCCATATTCAACTAATTTGTTGCACTAGCAGAAGCCAGCACAAGGATACCTGCTAGTACAACAAGATTCCCCTCCCCACTCCTCTTCCCACTACACCCTCACCAAATCTGCTCCAGAGAGTCAGAAGAACCCCAAAAACAGCATGGAGGGCAGGAAATGGTTCCATCACCACAGGAATATCTGCTTGCCTAATGGAATGATCTTCTTAGTGCTTCGTTGAGTGTAACCCAATGATTGGTATAGTTTCCTGGGAAAGGTTAAGGCTGCAGTGCTTGGGTATGCTCAGGTGGTATGATGATAATGGCTGAGTGCGGGCTGAAGTGATCTCTCTCAAGATGACTGTGAAAACAGTTTGGCATGCTTCAAAGCTACCCTGATTTGCTCACTGAATGCAAGTGGTTCTGTTTCAGCCAGAAGATCAGCTGTCATGTTACCTGACACACACAAACCCCAAAGTGGAGAAAATCATCCATGAGAACCTTCACCTGAACAACCACGTCAGAGAGACAACAAGAGGACCCCGGTAAATCCCTGTTTATATTATTTTATGTACAGTGCTGTCGGTGTACATAGCGTGAAAAGAAAGAAGGGGGGAAAGTCTGAACCCTGATGGGAAGAAAAAGGAAGGGGATGATAGCTGCAAGACCGATAGGCAAGAATATTGCAAATGCAGTTGCACATGTTTAGGCTTAGAGTTTGTTTAATTCAGGGGTGGGAGATATTTTGCCTTCCAGATGTTGCTCAACTACATGTAGTTCAGCGACATCTGGAAGGCCAAAGGTTCCCCACACCTGCTTTTGTGGGTGAGGAGTACAGCAATAAGGAAACCTATCCAGTCTTGAAATTTCATGTTTGGGCTCTTCTCCATGTCAGCATCCTAACATGGCCTGCTGTTGCTCCTGTTTCTAGGTACTGTCCCTCACTAGAGTCGAAAGTTCTGCGTTTTCCAAATCGCGCACATCAGGTCTGGCTTGAGCCTGAGGGTCTGGATTCCAACGTCATCTACCCGCAGGGAATATCTCTGACGTTGCCATCTGAGATCCAGGAGGAGCTCATCACCCATATTAAGGGCTTGGAAAAAGCAAAAATGGTACAGCCAGGTGAGAGGTGGGAAGGAAGTCCAGTTGGATGGAGCTATATAGGCAGCATATCATGTGGGAGTGTGTGTGGATGCCGAGGTTTGTCTGCCTCATCTCAAGTGGGATGTTACTTGATTGCCCACCAGCACATGGCTGTGCATGTCTTCTGATCACCAGAGGTGTGGTTTTGTAAGCCTTTATCTTACAGAAAGGTTTGAAACAATGCAGCATGCATCCTTTCCCCCTGCTACCTGTAACCATGTTGCTCTGTTGTAGGGTGTGGTTGCTGGAATCAATAAACCTTTTATCACCTATATCTGTCCTAATAGGCTATGGAGTGCAATATGACTTTCTAGACCCACATCAGCTGACCGCCTCCCTTGAGTCTCGCCTCGTCCAGCGGCTCTTCTTTGCAGGGCAGATAAATGGCACCACAGGCTATGAAGAGGCTGCAGCTCAGGTGAGGAGAACCTGCAGGGAAGTGGGTCGTGGCTGTGAAATGCTTTCTGCAGTATCAAACGTGATGATATAACTAGCAGCTTGCAGTCACAGGTCTTTTGACTCTGCCTTCTTCCAACTCAGACGTTCTGGACTACAACTCACATCAGCTTCAGCCTGAATGACCCTACAGGAAGGAGCTGGTGGGAATTCTGATCCAAAACATTGGAAGGCACCAGGTTGTGGAATGCCGATTTCAAGAGCATTTGTTCAGAACGTGTGTGTGTACACATGTCTGAAACTTACTTTTTTATGTCCAGGGAATGAGCCCTTGTCATAATTGGCTTGTGCCAATTTTATTCTGCAAAGACACCTTTTAGCATGCCAGTGGATAACTGGGATACATGGTGGGAAAGTCACATGTGGTATCTACGGCTTAAGCAGTCTCCTTATCGTAGACACAGAGCTACTGAACAGACTAAGCTTCTGGTGTCTAGTATATAGTGTCTAGTATATGGTGGCTTCCTCTGTGATCTATAATCTCTTTACTCTCTGGCAGGGTGTGGTTGCTGGAATCAATGCCAGTCTGCGGGTCACTGGGAAACCTCCATTTATTGTCAGTCGCACAGAGGGGTACATTGGCGTTCTGATTGACGATCTCACTACTCTAGGCACCAGCGAGCCGTACCGCATGTTCACCAGCCGAGTGGAGTTTCGGATGTCTCTGCGGCCGGATAATGCTGACAGCAGACTCACCTTCCGAGGTAGTCAATTCCTCCAGAGGCCTTTTTTTAAAAAAAACCACACAATTGCACACAGTTTTCCTAATTCCTGAGCACCTTTTTGGTCTCTTTAAGGCTATAATGAAGCTGGCTGTGTGTCTCAAAAGCGGTATGAGCAAGCATCTCAGATGAAAGCAGTGTTAGAAGAAGGACTTGAAATGCTGAAATCTATTCAGTTCAGCAATGCAAAATGGGCCCAGCTCATACCAGAGATTACAATAAGTGCCGGTCGTACCTCTCCTTGCAGGTATGAGTCTCTCTCTTATCCCCCCCCCCCCCATGGTCTTGTTTTAGAGAAGCACAGATTCATACAGAAACATCATATACCTCACATTTACCCGCTCTCTCTATCCTTTTTAATTGTGTCTACTCGTAGAGTGTTTCTTGTGATGCTGTTTGTGTGGGGGAGAATGTACAAAGCTGTCAAGAGTGTTTCTGTGGAAAGGGTGAAGCGATTTCATTGCTTTCTTTTGTCTTCCCTCACCAGTGACTCGGTGAGATTTGTGGGATTTTATAATGTGAAAGACTAGACTGGATGAATCCCAAGCCAGAATTAAGATTGCCGGAAGAAATACAGTGGTACCTCGGGTTAAGTACTTAATTCGTTCCGGAGGTCCGTACTTAACCTGAAACTGTTCTTAACCTGAAGCACCACTTTAGCTAATGGGGCCTCCCACTGCTGCCACGCCGCCGGAGCACAATTTCTATTCTCATCCTGAAGCAAAGTACATAACCTGAAGCACTATTTCTGGGTTAGCAGAGTCTGTAACCTGAAGCATATGTAACCTGAAGTGTATGTAACCCGAGGTACCACAGTATGAACAACCTCAGATATGCAGATGACACAACCTTGATGGCAGAAAGTGAGGAGTAATTAAAGAACTTCTTAATGAGGGTGAAAGAGGAGAGTGCAAAATATAGTCTGAAGCTCAACATCAAAAAAACTAAGATCATGGCCACTGGTCTCATCACTTCCTGGCAAATAGAAGGGGAAGAAATGGAGGCAGTGAGAGATTTTACCTCCTTGGGCTCTATGATCACTGCAGATGGTGACAGCAGTCATGAAATTAAAAGACGCCTACTTCTTGGGAGAAAAGCAATGACAAACCCAGACAGCACCTTAAAAAGCAGACACATCACCTTGCCGGCAAAGGTCCATATAGTTAAAGCTATGGTTTTCCCAATAGTGATGTATGGAAGTGAGAGCTGGACCATAAAGAAGGCTGATCGCCAAAGAATTGATGCTTTTGAATTATGGTGCTGGAGGAGACTCTTGAGAGTCCCATGGACTGCAAGAAGATCAAACCTATCCATTCTTAAGAAAATCACCCTGAGTGCTCACTGGAAGGACAGATCCTGAAGCTAAGGCTCCAATACTTTGGCCACCTCATGAGAAGAGAAGACTCCCTGGAAAAGACCCTGAAGTTGGGACAGATTGAGGGAACAAGGAGAAGGGGACGACAGAGGATGAGATGGTTGGACAGTGTTCTCGAAGCTACTAAAATGGGTTTGACCAAACTGCAGGAGGCAGTGGAAGACAGGAGTGCCTGGTGTGCTCTGGTCCATGGGGTCACGAAGAGTCGGACACAACTAAACAACAACAGCAACAACAACATAATGGCCTGTAGAAACTCCTAGAGCTAGGGCGTATTTTCACAGTTTCAAATCCTAATGTAAAACTGTTAACCTGGTATCCCACCACTATTAACACATAAAATCAAGGGGGAATTGAAAATTTTAAGCTGTGGAAAGAAGGAAAGCAGTCCTAGAAAATCTAAGGCTTTTGCTTTTATCTTTGAATTAAGTAACCCCCTTAACCATATCCTAATTGGTACCTCACATTTCACAGCATGATTTGTGATAGGGAGCAAGGCTCTGGCTAAAATGGCCTGGGATTTGTTGCCCACGTAAAACAAACACACTGGCAAACCTGTGGACTCAGAAAAGTTTCTTTTAGCAGCTTCAGAAAACAATTGCACAAGTAAATAGGTATATGACTGCAGTCTTAAGCCCTGAACCAGCTTCCTTAAGCCTAATTTTGTTGCAGTTGCAAAAGCATTGTGCCTTAAAAAAAAACTGAGAAGAAATTCTAGGTGCCCTTGAGCTAAAATGCTGTGTTTCTTCCATTACATAACCTACCTTATCACTTATTTTAATGTATTATACAGTGTCATTTTTTTTAATGCTGTCCCCATGTTATTGTGTATAGTTTCTTTCCAAGTTCTTATCTGTGATCTTCATTGTTGGCTTGTAAGCTCCTTGAGTTGAATCAGCCATTTTTGTGTGTGTGCATTAAATGATCCCTAATACAATGTGGTTAAGGCTTCCTGGATAGTGATACCATATTTTGAGCAAGCCTGAGGTCTTCTAAACTTCCTTGAAATTCCATGGGAATGGGTACTAGCTTAGACTTGTTTTAGATCCCACCTTTCTATGACAAGAGCACTCAACGCATCTTGCACATAATTTCACAGGAATTGTTTTTGCTTTGTTTTGGTTTTTTGCTTAGTGCCCTGGACATCCTTCAGTACCAGGGGGCCAATATGGAGATTTTGTCACGAGCTGTCCCAGGGCCTCTGAAAAAGTTTGCTGAATGGAGACAACTGGCAGAAAGGCTGAAAATAGAAGGTATGGAAGACTAGCAAGCCCTAAATAAAACTCCCATCAGTACCAGCCAGCATGGAGAGTGATGGGAGTTGTAGTCCAGCAACATCTGGAGGGCCCCCATTCCTGTCCTAACTTGACACATTTGTGCCCAGTAGATCTTGCTTCTTGGGGAACTCAGAACATAAATTCCATCGAATCCAAGAACACAATTAGGCTTTATATTCTTATACAGATAGCTTGTGGCCGTTTTCCGTCTCTCCAATGGTGCAGGAGTAAATCTGATATAATCTGCTCTGTTTAGGTTGCAAACCTAAGCATATTTACTAGGGAGTAAGTCCCATTCAACACAGTGGAACCAGCATTCGAAATTTGCCAGGTGCATTTTGCTCATGGCTATCAGCCACTTGTGACCAAGTGAATATGCCCGGGTGCCAGGATAGCCCCTGATGTCTCTACCATCTGGAGGTGCATGCATGGGGACCCTTGGATTTTTTTCACACACTAGGAACACATCCTGTACAATTCTATCCATTATATTTTATCAGAATGAATTTCAGGAACCAAAATATATATTGTTCTGTTCATTCTCTTTGTTCTTCTCACAAGCTGTTTATGAATGGCATGTGTCTGTTCAGAGGTTGGAAATAGAGGAAGTGCGTCAGGATGAGGCTCTTCAGCTGCCAGAAGATCTGGATTACTTTGCCATCGATACATCACTATCTCAGGAAGTGCGAGAGAAGCTGGACTCCCACCGTCCCCAGACGGTAAGGTGCTAGTAGAGTGAGTTTGCTGGATGAAGTAGGGATCCTGTGGCTTTCCAGATGTTGCCAGACTCCCAACTCCTACCAGCACTAGCCATTGTGGCCTGGAATTGTAGTCAAGCAACCCAGCATTAATATGTAGGGGGTTAGTTATTAAAATGTACCTTGAAAGCATTATAGTCATTTCCAAAGGCAGAAAACTGAGTAAGCAGGGGCTTTGCTAGGTTAACAGCTCTGCCTTTAGAGTGAATCTTCCAACTTTGTTTGGTATTAGAGACCACATGGAAAGTGCCAAGAGAATTCCCGTTCTAAGTTGAGAAATAAAATGGGGGGGGGGAGCATTTCACAAGATTTCACCACTGTGTTCCTGGCCTTATTAAAAATTTGGAAATTGAAAGCATCAAGGGAGAGTTAGAAAAAACACTTAACTTGGTGGGGCTTTTTATTCTTTATTTTTAAAGCCCATTTCTGTGCAAAAATATAGACTATGTATAATAATTTATAATCTATAAATATTATGTATAATTAGCATAGACATGCTGACAATATGGTAAAGTTTGCCTGCCATTTTGATTTCACCTGTTTTGTTGTTCTTATCAGAATGCTTCAGACTAGCTTATGTGTCTTTTTCCAGTTTGAACATGTAAGGCAGTCTCCGCCCCCCCAAAGTCATAAAATGTATTCCTTTGTGCACACCAACGAAAAATGGCTACCATTGTATGCATAGGAGGGGGTGTGGCATAATGGGTAAGACACATTCTTGAGTCAAATGTGGCCAGAACATCTACAAACCTTTCTGCACCAACACTATGGGGATAGTAATACTGACAGGCTTTGTAATCATTTAAGTAATTTAAGCAGTCAAATAAATGCAAAATGTTCTTTTAGACATGTGCACAAATGCTGAACCATAGCTGTGAACTGTATGTTGTTATAATGCTGATGACAATGGAATAAAATCTATCAAGAGCTTCCACTGCCATTAAAAAACAAACTAGCAGTGATCATTCTTCATGGTGGCTAGAAAGTTAAAACTCCCACACCCAGAACAGGAAGGGTATGAGAGGGAGTTATGTTGCACAAATGAAAATAATTGCATTGGCAGTAGGACTTTGTTGGAGTTTGCCCATTGACATGACTGTTTATAGAATGATCAATAGTCTTCAGTGATGTCCTGTTGATCCCGAGTAGTAAGATATGCAGGTAAGTTTACTTTGTGTGTATTTTAATCGCTTCAATGAAACACACATGAAGGGGACGCGGGAAGACTTTGGTGTTACAATTCTTACAGTAGGCAATCTCACCTTCCTGTTACTGTTTCTAGATTGGCGCTGTCAGCCGCATTCCTGGAGTCACACCTGCTGCTGTTCTAAATCTACTGAGGTTTGTGAAGAACCATCACAAAAGAGCAGAGCAAACAAGTGAGAGATGTAGGATTGCTACCCCCATCCCTGATGTCAACCTGCTGGGACAAAGAAAGCTCCAAGCTACTGATATGTGAACAGTGCTTACTGAGCAAAACCCATTGAACTGTGTTCCTGCAGCCTGTGGTTATCCGGTCATTCACATACCATGTATGTAATTGCTATCCAATAAATAGACAAGAGCTACCAGAGTGATGTTATCTTACACATAAAGGATGATCCAGTGAATAATCAGTTAGTCCAAAAAGCTGAAAAACTTCCAGAACACCGCAAAGGCACCACTAGCCAGAAAAAGTGGAAATGTCAGATCAGGTGTTGAAGAAAACTTAACAAAAGACTAGAGAAATTTGTTTCCTGCTTACAATTTCTTGAGTCACTTCCTTTTCTACTGCCTTTGCTGCCACCTATAGTACTGAAAAAAATCTCATCTTAGTGCATAAATATTCCTCTTAAGTAAGGGCAAGATGTCAACAGGCTTCCTTTACTTGAAAGTAGTTGAAACACTTGCAGGTAGGTTTTTATTTAAGCTTATGCTCAAATCCAAATTTGTTTTCAGACATAAAATGTATCAGTAGATTAGAATCAGGACCTTGTTCTGTTAGGTGTTGCTATGGTGGGAATATAGTCTTTACCTGCTGTTTATGGAGTGGAAAAACACACTTACACCCAGAATAGATGGAGCACTGAACTGAGGTCTGTGGTTTATAAATCCAGTCAATATAGCTGGGAATTATTTCTGGGTCAACCCAACTAGAGGCTTGCACTCTCAAGATTTAGGCAGTGCACAGTACAAGTAGAGGGGTTTGATGCCTGGAACCAGGCCCCTGACAAGGTGGAGGGCTGTTTACCCAGCCTTGGGAAGGTGGTGAGAGGGCTCTGGGACACCCAAGAGTTATGAAAGACAGCTACTGGAAATTGGTAGACCACATTGGGACACAGGTGGCGCTGTGGGTTAAACTACAGAGCCTAGGGCTTGCAGATCAGCAGGTCGGTACCAGCTCCTGCCAACCTTGCAGTTCGAAAGCACGCCAAAAAAGTGCAAGTAGATAAATAGGTTACGCTCAGGAGGGAAGCTAAACAGCGTTTCCGTGCGCTGCTCTGGTTCACCAGAAGCGGCTTAGTCATGCTGGCCACATGACCCGGAAGCTGTACGCCGGCTCCCTCGGCCAGTAAAGCGAGATGAGCGCCACAACCCCAGAGTCGTCTGCAACTGGACCTAATAGTCAGGGGTCCCTTTACCTTAGACCACGTTAACTATGCTATATACTTTGATACAACTAACACAAACACGTCTGTACTACACAGAAAAGCTATCCTACCTAGAAAAAAGAGCCGTAGAGGTAAAGTAATTCTAGACTCAAATTTATTGAAGATAAAAACTAAAAGTCCAAGTGTTTGCTTACAAAATTTAGTTTTTTCATTAACCCAACATAAGTAAACTATCACATATGCATTGGAAAGCAAAACTAACCTATTGGAAGTGAATTGTCAGACATGTATCAAAATGTCCACGTTGCTATGCGTTGGGTTTAATAATAAAGGCAGTGTTTAGCATTGGCAGCTATTAGCTCTAAGACACAGAATACACACAGAACACCCATGGTCATTTTGCAATGGCAAAACTAGCCCTCTGCATCAAAGTGTAATGATGGCCAGTTTGAGCACTTTAGAATCAAATTTACTCTCAGCCTTGAGTCTCTTGCAACCTCTGTCCGAATGCCTTTACTATCTTTATCCAGTTGTCCTATAGGAGCATATTGCTTTAGCACACATAGTAGCTGCCTGACTACAATGTGCAATTTAGGATCCTTATATCTCAAGTGTTCCTATTCCATGTAAGGCCCATTTTAGGCAAAACTATAAATTGCCGAGAAAGGTAACTGGAGAGATGGCACCCATTAACTCTCATCTGCTTATTTAAGGCAAAATTCATGTGCATCAGTCCTTAAAAATGCCAATTCCAATGCCCATAAAAGGTACCACCCTGCTTTTTCAAGCTTAAATTTTCAGCTGCTAGGGCAAAGGGGTTTTGAGGCTGGAAAGGGAAAAACCCAATAGACCACTTTGCATGAACATCCAGGGAATTTTCCTGCAGGCCAGAGTTTGTGCCTTCAAGAGCCAAAAGCCTTAATGACATTTTGCCATTACTATTTTCAATACCCACAATTCATTAAAATCTTTTAAAGTTACACTTGGTAAAATATCATTTGGTCAGACTCTAGATGAAATGAATAAGGGCAATGATCCAGTTAGTTGAACTTTAAAGGTCCAGTTGATTTCAATAGGCATAAAAGCACATGGCACAACTTCCACACCTTGAATTCAGTTTTATAAATGTCTTAACTTTTGCTAGAATGCACCCTAAAATTGCTGGTAGAATTTTAAATCTGGAGTATTTGTGATAACTACCAAAAGCAGGACCCAAATATCCATTACTCCAATCCATCAGAGCTGAAGCTAAGAGAATATGAAGTTTAACTACAGAAAAGCAAGGCAATTTAATTTGGATGCCACACCCCATGCCTCAAATTTACTGGAGGTGGAAAAAATAAGAACAAGTTATTTGTATAACAAGGACTACTTTTAATAATAGAATTCGATCACCTTCAATGCTGTCAAGTCAACCAACATAAGCTATAGTATAGTTTAATATTTACCACTGTGTCCAGTGTTCCTCAGAAAACAGGACAGCTCAAACTAAAGCTATCTGAAGCTAGAACTGCTAGTTGAACACTTTTTAATGTCCAATTTTGGCCCCTTTGTAGCAAGGCTCTCAATCATACTCGTTTGGCACAGCAACTTAGAACCTGGTTGTTGGTGTTGATCTATGCTGTATACTGGAAGCTGGTTTTACACAACGAATCACAAAGGGGTGGAGAGCATGCTGTTTTCACACGAATTATTAATTCATGATCTATTTTTGGAAAAGGTTTACCAATTTCATGATCTTAAATGACTAGCCTGAGGATCAAGTAAAAATCTAGCCTCTCATTTCATAGCCTACTACAATTCTTAAGTTAGCAGCAAAATACTATTGAGAAAACCTTAGTGACTTCAGTCATGTTAATCCATAACATTCCAATTTACATTACAAATATTCTACCAGAAGCAAAGCTTCCAACTTGTGTGGTAAACTGTAAGGTAAGAACGCAAAGCTTTAAGCAAACCAGCAACAGTTAAAAGTAGTCACTGAAACTTCAAAGTTTAACACATCTACACTAACATCTTGGAACAGAAGAAACCAGCTACCAACTATGTGTGCTTTGCTTAAATAAGAAAATGACAGCTATTAAACCTGTAATTCTAAATAAAAATTTAGTAGGCTTAAGCATGCCTAAACACTGCAGAAAATTTAGCTACTCAACTCCTTGATCCCAGCTCAATTCTGGGTGAATATTGGCAAAGCTAAGAAGTTCAGAAGGCTTTTTTCACCCTAGCCTTGTGTGTGTTGCAATGTTTTAAAATATTAACATACCAGTATCAATGATAAAGTAATTCCTTTTTACCTTTGAACTTTGCAATAGGCCCAAGTCTATTACCAAGTATCCAAAGTGTAACTATTAGCCCCAAAGAACACAGAGACTTTGCATTAAACTTTGTTTTAATGGTCTCAAAATTTGTGACAGATTTTGGTCAAGTTGTTTCCATTTAAAAAAGGTTACTGATTTTAAAAACTAATAACTTAAGAACTGCCACGAAACAAATGGTCCACAAACATTCCTTTCCTTCTGAAGCTTTTACGATGCATTGTAATCATTAACCAGTCTTTTACTATTAAACTTAAATGGCCAATTGAGACAAACAGTTCTGAGACCATGCTTCCACCACTGATTAAGACTGGGGTGGCAGATGTACAGAATTTTCATTTAGCCTTCTGAGCTTTCTGGGCAGACTTTGTGACCTTGCCAGCACCAGCTGCTTTCTTGTCGACTGCCTTGATGACACCAACAGCAACGGTCTGTCTCATATCACGCACAGCAAAGCGACCTAGGTGTGAAGAAGAGAGTTAACAACCAAGAAACCTTCAAAGAAAGACACTACATCCTATGGGCAATTATAAAATGAAAATGCACTTTTCCATTTAAGATGAGCAAAGTGCAAAAAATAATTACTCAGATGCTAACTTGAGTTTTCTATTAATATTCTCAAGGGAAAAAAGGTAGCTGTATCACATTGCTATCTGGAACTGATCCAAGAGTATAGAACGGTATACAAATTTAGTAACAGCTACTCCAAAACTAACCCTGCCCTGATAAACAAGTTAGAACTAAAATGGCTACTTACCCAGAGGAGGATAGTCAGAGAAGCTCTCCACACACATGGGCTTCCCTGGAATCATGTCAACGATGGCAGCATCTCCAGATTTCAGGAATTTGGGACCATCTTCCAGCTTCTTACCAGAACGACGATCAATCTTCTCCTTCAGCTCAGCAAACTTGCAGGCAATATGAGCAGTGTGGCAATCCAGCACAGGGGCATAGCCAGCACTAATTTGGCCAGGATGATTCAAAATGATAACCTATGGAATAGTTCAAAGAAGAGAAATCTACATCTAGCTGCATACAGTAAGTTTAATTCCCATCTAGCTGTATGTAAGCTGAAATTGACCAAATTAAGAATTGCTAAATACCTGTGCTGTGAACCCAGCAGCTTCCATTGGTGGATCATTTTTGCTGTCACCAGCAACATTACCACGACGGACATCTTTAACAGACACGTTCTTTACGTTGAAGCCAACATTGTCACCAGGCAGAGCTTCACTCAGAGCTTCATGGTGCATCTCCACAGATTTTACTTCAGTTGTAACATTAACTGGGGCAAATGTTACAACCATGCCTGGTTTCAGGATACCAGTTTCCACACGACCAACTGGAACGGTACCAATCCCTTAAGGAAAGAAATATAAAGTTTACAATCATGGCATTACACGTATACTTGACCTGCAGAGAAAGAAACAGGAATGGAGCAGTGTCACGTGTGGGGGAGGTCAAATGGATGGGATGGCACAGCTACGTACAGAAATGAAACAAACTTCCAGTGCCATTTACATTTTTGAAATGCAAGTTCAATTAAATTATTACCTAATACGAAAGCTTTACTTTGTAGGCACTAGTCCCTCCGATAACACAATATAAAATTCTTATAGTACATACCACCAATTTTGTAGACATCCTGAAGTGGCAGACGCAGTGGCTTGTCAGTTGGACGAGTTGGTGGCAAGATAGAATCCAGAGCTTCCAGCAGTGTAGTTCCGCTAGCGTTGCCATCCTTACGGGTCACTTTCCATCCCTTAAACCAGGGCATCTGCAGAAAGGGGGGGAAATGCAACATGTTACTTTTCTATGAAAGCTCTATAAGCAGTTTTTAGTTACTTTCTGGTGATAACTGAATATAAAGTTTTTGACAAGAATATTGCACAAGTTTTGAACTTGAGCATGTAGATTTTGTTAAATATGTGTTGCCAGCCAGATGGGCCGGGTATAAATAATAATTTATTATTATTATCATCATCATTTCCTCATTGCTGCAGAAATCAGATGAGCAACTATTAAAACCTTACATTTATTGTTCTTTTCAAATTCCAAAATTATATGAATTGCAGTCTCACAATTCTTGACGAGCATTATTACTTACATTAGAGCTGGGCTCCAACATGTTGTCTCCATTCCAGCCAGAAATTGGCACAAAAGCCACTGTATCAGGATTGTAACCAATTTTCTTGATGTATGTGCTGACTTCTTTGACAATTTCCTCGTATCTCTTCTGGCTGTAAGGTGGCTCGGTGGAATCCATTTTGTTAACACCAACGATGAGCTGTTTTACACCCAGTGTATATGCCAGAAGGGCATGCTCACGGGTCTGCCCGTTCTTGGAGATACCTGCTTCAAATTCACCAACACCAGCCGCAACAATCAGGACAGCACAGTCGGCCTTTAGGAAAAATATGTAATCATTTATTTATACTGTTTTAATCATCATACAGTATTTACTTTTTATTATAGCCAAAATGGTAAAACTGTTTGCTCACCTGGGAGGTACCAGTAATCATGTTTTTGATGAAGTCTCTGTGTCCAGGGGCATCAATGATAGTGACGTAGTATTTGCTTGTTTCAAATTTCCAAAGAGAAATATCAATGGTGATACCACGTTCACGTTCTGCCTTCAGCTTGTCCAACACCCAGGCGTACTTGAAGGAGCCCTTACCCATCTATTTAAAGGGGGAGAAAAATGGCATGAATGTCTCTTGCACTAAACATACAGTAATGAACACATTAACTGAATCTGTTTCTAAAGATAGCACACTTCCATGCTCTGAAATATAATATACAAGCTATGTTTAGCAAATTGCACTTGGCAGAAGCAGTGAAAGATTCCACACCTACTTTGCTTACTTAACCCACTGACATGCTAATCCACCATTACCTAATATATGCAATATGAACTGTTCAAACTTTTATCACCTAGTTTCTTCTGCAAGAATTTCATAGAATTTAGCAGTTCTATGGAAACAGTTGTTTCAACACAAACTAGGAATAAGACACAAGCTGCCCACACCTCAAAGGAATTAACTTCACGGGATCCTTCCAATATAGCAAACGCTACATAAATTCAAAAGTTAATGTCAGCTTTACAGTGGAAAAAAATGTATCTCGTAAAGCTGTCTTTCTGCACCCATTTAAAATTGAAAACTGACAACTGCTTCCAGAGTCAAACGCACCTCAGCAGCTTCCTTCTCAAACTTCTCAATGGTCCTCTTATCAATTCCACCACATTTGTAAATCAGGTGACCGGTGGTGGTGGACTTGCCAGAGTCGACGTGTCCGATGACAACGATGTTGATGTGAGTCTTTTCCTTTCCCATTTTGGAATGTTAGTAGATGGTTCTCTTGCTCTTCAGATAAAGCACCTTGGAGGTGTGGGGGAAGAGAGGAATGTAAAAAAAAAACCAGCAGTTTTTATAAAAAGAAAATGCAGTTAAAGCAGAACCCCCTAGTGGAGAGGAGCGTTAACAACACGAGTAGAAGACGCCATGCGGGCTGGCCGTCCAAGGCCGGTTATCTGCTCCCTTTGATTGAAGGGATCGAGGCCCAAACTAGGCCCAAGCCAGCTCCACCCACCGTGGGAGGGCGCGTGAGAGAAGGGGACGGCGACCGCGACGAGGCTAACCTGGGCTAGAATTCCCCTCATAAACTGTTCTCAAGACCCTACCGCGTCGTGGCCATTACAGGATATAAGGAGAGAGGGAGGGGTTTTTTTGAGGGGGGGAGAGAAGGGCGGCTCCCTCTCCTTTGTGTCGTAAGCCAAGCGAGCACGAGCCCGGGTTGGGCCGGGGAGGGGGGATGAGTAAGGAAGAGCGAAGCGTGCCGAAGGTTCGCGTATTGGGGGGGGGGCGGCGGGAGGGGGGTGTCCGGTGAGGAGCGGTAGTTGAGCCACTCGTTGGCTGGCACGCGCGCCCCGCCCGCCCTCCATTTTGTGACGGCAGCAGCGGCGGCGGCCATTTTTTCCCTCTTCCTTCTGAGCGGAAAGCGGGGGAAAAGGCCGAGAAAAGGGGCCCCTTGTAGGTAACAAGAGGATGGGCCGTCGTGTGTCACGGGGCCAGAACTAAAGCAAGAGTAAAATCGAACAGGCCGCTATGGGAAAGAGGGGCTGTTTTTTAAAGACAATTATGGGGGCACACCTGCCACGACCGCAGCCGGCGCCCCCATCCCGCCCCACCGGAGATGCCGCGTTTCGCCCCGAAGGGAACACGACACGTGTCTTCGGAACCCTCCCTCCTTCCTTCACTTGCACACTGAGGAGAACGGATGCTCCTCTCTGACTTCCCTCCCCCACCCACACGAGACACACAAACCACCACCCCCATTCCGCACACACCGAGGCAGTTATTTTTTGAGGGGGGGGGAACGGACTCAGGGGCAGAGGAACCCATTTGGGTCGCGGGACAAGGCAACCGGGCATGCGCATGCACACTTCCCCACCCCACCCCCCGGCTTCAAACCGCCGCTGTCCCTCTCTCCCTCGGCCCCCCTACCAGTCGCCAGGAACGGCTCTCGGCCGTGCGAGGACCACGTGGGCTTCCCTCAGTCCCCGCCCCCTCCCAGGCCTGGGCCTATGAACGCGACCCGCCCGAAAGCCAGCTTACCTCTGAAGCAGCGGCAAACCCGTAGCGAAAAAGGCAGAAGCGGAGAGCGGCGCCCTTTATATAGTTTGAGCCGGGAGGGCGGCGGCCTGAGGGACACGTCACGGCTCCCAGCGTTCCATTCGCTGCTTCTCGGCTCCCCCGCCCTTCGCCCTCCCGCCCCGCACGCCTCCCCTCGAGAACTGCGTCTAGGGAGAGGGGCAAAACACCCTCTTTTTCACGGAAACGTAACTTTCTGTTGAATCGTCCCTCTCCCCTCTCGAAGTCGCGTTTCGTGTGCGGAGGGCGTTGAGAATTTGGAGACACGCCCTCTTCCCTCCTGCAATGCCAGAGTTGGGTTGAGCGGGTCAGTCCAGCTTTCAGCAGTCCCAGCCCATCCCCCCCCCCCCCATAGTGCCTGGCTGGAGGGAGCGCCCATCCCCCGGCCGTATCCTCCTTTCACACATGCACGCCGCCGAGTCCTCCCTAGTTTCTGTCCCCACACTCCACACCCGTCTTCCCACCTCGGCGCTTCCCTTTAATTCAGTCTTGGGAGGCATGTCTTCACCCAGAAGCACATCTTTGTTTCCCTTCAGTCCTTCCCTTCCTGCTCCTCACACCATAAGTCACCGTAGCTTTGCACCCGAAGCATGCATGCTTCCTTCGCCCGCTCTTTACGTTATGCTCATTCATACATCTCTCAGTACCACGCCACGCAAAAAAACCACTCTCTTATCTAGACGCAGTAGATTTTGCCTCTAAACCTCCGCAGTGTCTTACCAGGGGTATAAACAATATTTCTCCTCGATTTCTTTTGACGTTTCATTTGCGTTTAAAGCTACTGTAACCACAACACCTAAGAACCTCAATTTATTTTAAGGAATGTTTTTCATGCACATAAAATTTGAATACAAAGAGCATCAGAGAGGCTTGGAAACACAAGAGCATTCCCTGCCTTTTCATTGTTTATAACTGCCTTTTACATTTATTTCATAAACGACAGAAACATATTGCCATATTTCAAACAATGAAAATCCGGACAGTTGTTGAGCTTTGTATGGCAACCCTAAATTTGAAGAAATGATACAGCCCTGCCATAAACACCGATTGTCACCAATCCAGCTAAAGTTAGTTATGCTTAAATGTCAAATGTTTAAGAGCATAATAAGAGGCTGCGGGATCAAGCCAGTGGCCCATCTAGTGCAGCATCCTGTTCTCACAGTGGCCAACCACATGCCTGTAGGAAACCCACAAGCAGGATTCGAGCCCAAGAGCACTTCCCATGGTTTCCAACAACTGTATAGAAGCATTACTGCCTCCAACCGTGCAAACGGAGCACAACCTTCATGACGAGTAGCTGTAGGCTGAAGTTACATGTGATTTATGTGCCCCGTTAAGTTTAGTTGAACTTCAGTGTACAATGGTTATAATCCTATCTGCTCTTACTTGGGAACAAGCCCTGGTGAATTCATTGGAATTTACTTCCCAGTAAAATACACACAGGACTTCTCTAGACTGAGCATAACTTGGAAGTAAGCTAACCATGGACTTGGGCAAACTGCAAAGAAGAATTCAGCAGGGTCTTTTGCTGTGTTAGTTTTAATTCTATGCCATTGGCAGCATGTGCAACAGAGGTAGTCGCTATTCCTTTCATAAAGATACTTCTGAGAACCTATTAAATGGCAAAAAGTATAACCTGAAAAAACTTTTGTCCTTTCACTAGCCACATGTTTTTGACATGTAACAAATAAATCACAGATAAACTACTTTTCAGATAGTGATCTGAAATAGCTCCAGACACACTGGGGTGGTGGTGGGAGAAATCCAAAAGATTTGCATTCACAGACAGAATCATCATAGTATCGGGGCTCATTCACTGTGAGCTGCTTCACTGATGTAAGTATAAACAAAGTGGTCAGTCAGTTTGCTAATTCCCCCTTAAGGAAACCATAATCCATAAATTGTTTAACGTTCTCCAAACCATTAAAATGTTCCTTCAATCCTGAGCATGTTTACTCAGAAGTAAGTTCCACTCTATGGAATGTGTGTTGAACTTTATTTTCCTCCCACTGATCTCAGGCTACAATCCTACCTAAACACACCTACTTTAGCCCCATTTAAAACAGTCCTATTAAAAAAAACAATGGGCTTCCAATGCATGCATTACGGATTATGCTATGTATGGAATTTATTTCTTGGTGAACCTATTGAGAATAAGGCTGCAAGTCACATTGGGCTCAAGTACTTGGAGACTTCACTATTTTGTTTACTTTAGAGGTGACCTTCTTTAGGTTTCTCAGAGGACAACTAATCATTACTGTGTAAAAGAGGCACGCACTAATTACAGACCCACAGTAGATAAAATTCACAGTTCCCCAGATTCTCACGAAATCTTTCCCACATTGCATTCCTGGAATGGGGGTGCTGAAGATTCCTTTTGGACTTGTAGGCCTTCTGATTGCAGCAGGAAAGTTAACTAGGCTAGAGAGGGATCCGCAATGGCATGAAGGAAAGCAGCTGCTTAAACAAATACAAGGAACTTGCTCACAAGGATTTTTGTATTTGGCAATAACAGCTCAGGTAAAATCTAGGCATAATGTATGTACCATCTTAGTGAATACTGAACGCTGAAATCCTAACCCCATTTACATGGGAGTAGATTCTGTTGAACATTTTTTTAGTCAGCCTGCGCTGGCCTTCAATTTTGAAATCCCCCTCTCCCAAAGTACCCCCTCAAGCCTAGCAACACCTCAGGTGAACACAGTACATTCACTAGCCAAAGCAGTTAAAAGAAAAGAACATAAAATTACACAAACTGCATATGACACTTGGTATTCAGACCAGCAAATAATCCCTTTTCTAGAACCTGCCAGTCAGGTAGGAAGCAAAACCACTAGAGCGTGATGCCCCCAATTTCTATTCTAGATGGTGACCCAGAAGCATACCATTGTCAATTACCGTATTTTATGCTCTATAAGACTCACTTTTTCCCTCCTAAAAAGTAAGGGGAAATGTGTGTGCGTCTTATGGAGCGAATGCAGACTGCGCAGCTATCACAGAAGCCAGAACAGCAAGAGGGATTGCTGCTTTCACTGCACAGCGATCCCTCTTGCTGTTCTGGCTTCTGAGATTCAGAAGGTGCGTCTTGTGGTCTGGTGCGTCTTATAGAGCGAAAAATACGGTATATTGAAAACTACTATGAGATCCAGGAGAGTCTCAACAGGATTACACCTCCCTGTCTTCTTCCCTGTGTAGATGATCCACCAGTGCAGTCAAACCAGTTTAAACTTCAAAAGGTGGTCTGGAAGCTAGGTGATTTTATGAATAGTGATAATAAGGAAGTGTGTTAATGTCTGACATTAGTATTGGTTGCTTTCGCCAAGCCAGTTCCTTTAGCCTTGGGAAAATGAATCCGTGGGTTCCATATGCCCATAAAAAATAATGTGATAATTCCAGATCCTCATTCCCCCTGCCCCAGTTGTCAAATAGCAGCATGGTTTAAAAGTAGCAAGTGGTTTACTTTTGATCCCATTTAAGAAGTATACCTAAGTCGTGCAGAAAGGCACCTTAACTTGATGAATGAGAATTTGGAAAACTGCAGGGCTTGGAATATCTGCTCTTCCTTATAAAGGCAATTTGCATTAATTACCTATATAAAGTTCCCTCAAAAGACTGCAGAAATACTGATTAGAACTGAAAAGACTAGTTTGGACTGTCGGAACTACTAGTTTCTCTCAAGTACAAATTGTGGGAGGTATATGAATCCCAAACAGATTTGCTTTGGGACGGATCGGGAGAAATGGTTACCAACTGCAGGTTACTCTTCATTATCAATTACAGAGGAACCCCTTTATAGTAGAAGGCCAGACGCAAAAGAGGTCAGTGCTCCTGGATATTTAACAGTGGTGCCGAAGAGAGGGTTTCAGCAAGTGTAATTTGTCATCCTAGTCTTGTCGTCTTCTCTACCTGGTCACACTAAGATGCCTCTTCCTTCACTCTCCTCAACAGTTCCCTTTCAAATATACCTCACTGTGGCTTGGGGAGAGGGTTTTTTTAATGGAGATCACCATCAACTGCCAAGACATGTTAATGAAAATCGGTCTGTTATGGTGATGGTAGAGACTTGACAAGCAAAGTTCAGTAAAATGCCCCTCTTATCAAAGTATGGATTATTCAAGTCCTCTCCCAGATCACTTGATCTTACAGAGAATAGAACTATCTCCGGGGGTGGGAATTGAAATTGCAGTCTAACTATCCAATTGATATGCAGCTCAAACACTGAGGAGAGCTAGAAACTGAAGTGACCAGTTAAGAATCTCATTAAGAAAATGTAATAAAGGTCACTATGGAGATTGATTCAGACGGGGCAATATGAAAGTTCAGACTTAGCTCACAGACAAAAGGTGGGAGTAATCGCCACACATATCTAAGAATAGAGGACATCAGGATATGGAGGGCACAATCTTTGACTCTGTGCAAGTGTGAATCTCAAGATGGCAACAGCATTGACATGGAGTACTTGTAATGTTGCCATGTTTTGTTTTGAACTTCCTTCTGCCTCTCTGTGCTTTTAACATAGCAGAAATAGAAACATTTGCAGGTGATACTGCTTATAAATTACCTCCACACTGCGACTAAACTGCGCCTAACAGTTTCTGCAATGAACCTATAAAAGCCACAGGAGCAAGGTCGGGACCTTTATCTGAACAGTTGGTAACTGTATTTACAAGCTGGAAGACCGTTATGATTGTATCCTTGGTACTGTTGTGAATTGGGGAAGGGGATTAAGTTGTATGATGCCTAAATCAGTGGAATTAGGGTGGCAAATCCCAAAAGAGGACAGAGCTCTTGCGGCTTTAATAGTCATGCAGTCATTCCAGCAGGTGTTGTTTGCATGACCATTGTTAAAGGTATAGGAGCCTTGCCATTTCTTTCTTCTGGCCATCCTATATGAAATCAGCACCACCATATTCCTATGCTGTACATAGCAAATTAGTACGTTAGGGAGACAGCTGAATGAAAATATCTTCATCGGCATCAGTTTTTTCTTCTGTGGAAAGGGAATAGTTTTGTGTTGATGAATGCTGAATCCTGTGACAGTTCCTGTCACTGCAATTTGATATGATCCATTCTAGACACAAGTTTATTATCTCACCTGCTCCTTGTAAGAACGAAGGCTGCAATCCAAAACACACTGGACTGGCATTGAATGCAATAGGACTTGCTTCTGGCTGGGCATGCATAGGATTGTGCTGCAAAAAAGCCTTTGAAAAGATCATAGTGCCTTTGTGAACCGATATCATTCATTGTAGAGGAAGGTGATTTTGTCAGCTCTGTCAAAGGTTAAAAACTTTCCTCGCAAAGGTTTCTATGTAGACTTTAGCCTTGTTGGTTCATTTTCTCTTGTGAGTCATCGTTCAGGGCATTGGCACTCAGTATGGCATGCAGAACTGTCATACTCTGCCAAGTTGTCACGTCAGCTGTGAACATTCCAGAATATCATATAATGTAATAGTCCCTCCCTTGCTGCCTGTAGGGGTATTGCGTCTTTAACAGCTAC